TAGTTTGATTTAGTAATCACATTCTACTTTTCTATTTCTCTTCTAGGTAGGAGGAATACATATTTATTTCCAAACCCTAAAAAATGCTTAATATGGTCATTTTTTCTTTTTTCATCAACAATAACATTTAAGTGAAATAATCTGATTAAGATTAAAAACATGTTTTGACAGGCATAGAGATTAGTAGATAAGGATACAAGATGATCACGACTTGAATATATGCCCCAAGAGGTCTAGAGAAGGGAACAGGCATAATTAAAAGATACTTTTAAATAGTGGGTCGCACAAAACCCAGCCAGCCCAGACCAGACCTATGGAAGACTTGTGATTGCCCATGAGATCCCGATCAGAGAAAGGTGGGCCCCAAACAGACAAGTGAGACCCCAGACCTGTATCAGAGAGTGAGCCAGAGTGGCCAGAGGCCTCAAGTAGGGTTTGCCCAGATAGGTGAGGACCCTGACAAGTGAGTTGGGAGGAGACATGCACAAAGGGAGCCCCACCAAGAGCAGATGGTTCCAAAGCTAATACGGCCAGAAGGAAAAACCCAACAAATGACATCCTGAGTGTTCAAGTGAATACTGCAACACAGAAAGCAAACCTCCAGGATCCCGATTCACAGACATGGAAGCTACAATCTTCCTATTACATACAGAATTTAGAAAACCAATACTTATAACTTAAATATTACATGAGCCCATGGCCAATTGCTGGTGGAAAGCAGCAGCCTCCAGGATGAACCCAGGATGTATATTCAGGTCAAGCCCAGCAGCCTCTAGGCTGAGCTCAGTGACTGAGACAACCTCCAGGCTGAAGCCAGGGCATAGTGCTGGTAAACCTGGCAGACTCCAAGCTGAGGATGGGCCTGAGTGCTGTTAGACCCCTATAGCCTCCAGGCAGAACTCCTGGCAGGACTAACCATTGACCTTGGCAGCCTCTAGGCTGAGGCCTGTGGACAGAGTGATGGTTGAGCCCTGCCAGAAGCATCCAGGTTGAGGCTTGGGCTAGAGAGCTGGTCTACCTCTTTGGGCTCCAGGCAGAACCCCAGACCTGACTGCTGTGAATCCTGGCAGCCTCCAGGCTGAGGCTGTGCCAAGAGTGCTGCTTCAGCTCAGCAGCCTGCAGGCTTAGTCTGGGGCCAGATTGCTGGTCGACCCTGGCAGCCTCCAGGTTGAGGCAGGGCCGGAGTCCTAGTCGACCCCTGTAGTTCCCTGAGAAACTGTTGGCAGGATGGCAGTTCGACCCTGACAGCTTCCAGGCTGAGCCCATGTCTGAAATGCTGGTCAAACCTGGCAGCTTCCAGGCTGAGGCAGGGGCCAGAGGGCTGGTGGACCCCTATACCCTCCAGGAACAACCCCTGGCAGGGCTGCTGTCGACCATGGTAGCCTAAAAGGGTCAGAATGCTGCTAGACCCCTATAGCCTCCAGGCAGAATACCAGGCAGGACTGCTGTCAATCCTGGTAGCCTCCAGGCTGAGGCAGGGGCCAGAATGCTGGATAACTTGGGCAGCCACAAGGCTGAGGCAGATCCTGAGTGATGGTCGACCCAGGCAGCCTCCAGGCTGAGGCAGGATGGAGTGCTTGCCCATCCTGGCAGTGTTCAGGCTGAGGAAGGGACAGAGTGCTGATCGACACAGGTAGTCTCCAGGCTGAGGCAGAATGGAGTGCGGGTCATCCCTGCCAGTATCCAGGCTGAGGCAGGGCCGGAGTGCCGGTCGACCACAGCAGCCTGCAGACTGAGGCTGGGTGTTGTGCTGGTCGCCCACAGCAGACTCCAGGATGAGGCATGGATGGAGTGCTGGTCAACCCCAGTAGCCTCCAGGCTGAGGCCATGAAGGAATGCTGGTTGATACCCTGGCAGTCTAAGGGTTAGGCATGGGACAGATTGTTCATTGACCCAGGCAGCCTTAAGCCTGAGCCAGGGTACTTACTGCAGGTCTACCCAGGAAGCCTCCAGGCTGAGACAGGAGAGAGTACTGATCACCCTGGCAATCAAGGGCCAGAGTGCTGGTAGACCCAGGCAACCTCTAGGCTGAGCCACGGGAGTAAGTGCTGATCAACTCAGGCAGCCTAATGCTGAGGAATGGGGCAGAGTGCTGGTCTACCCAGGCAACTCCAGGCTGTGGTGGGGAGGGAATGCTGTTCAACCCTGGTAGCCTCCAGGCCGAGGCTGGGGCCAGGGTGCTGGTTGATTGGCAGCTACCAGGCTGAGGCAGATCCGGAGTGCTGGTCTACCCAGGCAGCCTCCAGGCTGAGGTAGGGATGGAGTACTCTGACTAGAAGCCTCCAGGCTGAGGCAGGGCTCGAGTGCTGCTAGGTGAACCCCAGGAAGAAATGCAGTCAACCCAGGCAGCCTCCAGAATGGGGCAGGGCCAGAGTGCTTGTTTTTTTTTTTTTTTTAAGATTTATTTATTTATTTATACAAGCACTGGGTATAGTCAGAAGCATGGGAGGGTGAGAGAATTCACCAGAGTCAGAGCGGGGAGCAGAACAGGCAGACTGATGAAGTACACTGCTGAGGGGAGCAGCGGGCGGCAGGAGAAGTCTGCGCGCCATGTGGGACCCTCACCCAGCAGCCGGGGATTGAAACGGCGTTGCAGAGGTTGCGGGCAGCTTCACAACCCAGTGCTCAACCGCTGCGCCACCAGGGAGGCCCCCAGAGTGCTTGTTGATCCTGGCAGCATCCAGGCTGATGGGGGCCAGATTGTAGGTCGACCCCCGCAGCCTCCAGGCTGAGCCAGGGGCCGGAGTGCCAGTTGACCCAGGTAATCTCCAGGCTGAGCCAGGGGAGTGAGTGCTGATTGAATCAGGCAGCCTCAGGCTGAGGCATGGGCCAGAGTGCTGGTTTACCCAGGCAATCTCCAAGCTATGACTGGGGATGGAGTGCTGTTTGACCCTGGCAGCATCCAGGCTGAGGAGTGAGAGTGCTGGTCAACCCCAACAACTTCCAAGCTGAGGCAGGGATTGGAGTGCTGGTCTACCAGGCTGAGGAAGGGATGGAGTGCTGGTTGACCCCAGCAGCCTCCAGGTTGAGGCGGGACAGAGTGCTGATCGACCCAGGCAGCCTCTAGGCTTAGGCAGGGACAGAGTGTGGTTGGCACAGGTAGCCTCCAGGCTGAGGTGGGGATGGAGTGCTAGTAGACCCGGGAAGCTGCAAGATGAGGCAGTATGGAGTGCTGGCCTACCCAGGCAGCCTCCATGCTGAGGGTGGGGCCTGTGTGCTGGTGGACCCTGGTAGTCTCAGGCTTAGGCACAGGACAGAGTACAGGTCGATCTAGGCAGCCTCCAGGCTGACGCAGGACAGATTGCTGGTCAACCACGGCAGTGTCCAGGCTGAGGCATGGGTGGATTGACTTTCGACACTTGAAGCCTCCAAGCTGAGGCTGGGGCCAGAATGCTGGTTGACACTGGCAGCCACCAGGCTCAGTCAGGTCAGGAGTGCTGTTCAACCCAGGCGATCTCCAGGCTGAGGCAGGGACGGAGAGCTGGTTGAACCAGGCAGCCTCTACACTGAGGCAATCGGAGTTCTGGTCAACTCCAGCAGTGTCCAGGCTGAGACTCGGTCTATTGTGTTGGTCATCCCCAGCAGCCTCCAGGGTGAGGCTGTGGCCAGAGTGCTGATGGATTCTGGCAGCCTCCAGTCCTAATCAGTGTCAGTCCTGCTTGTCGAATGGTCACCTTCCAACTGAGAGTGAAATTAGCTTATAGAATCACAATTAACTTCAAATTTAAGAGTATTTTGGAGAAAGCTGTTTTATAAGAGTGACAAGGTGGACACAAGGACTCTTGATGACAGAATTATCAGTATTTTGTTCCTTTTATTGACTAAGGAATTAACAATTGGGGGAGAAATGAACATTTGCAAAAATCATTCCAGGAAAGAAATCTTTGAATCAAGTGCTATAGTAAAGGCTATAAACAGGGTGCTTTGCACAGAGGGGTGGGGGTGCTATGGGGGTGGCTGAGATTGCCTTGACAGAGAGCAGCAGAGGGGAAACTGTAAGATGAAGGCTGCCCTGACAAACAGGCAATCCGAGAGGGGGCCTCAGAGCCGGTGCTATTTTGTCATCAAGTATTTTCAAGACCAGCGAGAGAGTGTTATGTATATTTGGAAATTGTTTCTATTTCGGCCTTTCATCTCATTCACTCCTCAGTTTCATCCAATTAATTCCATTAATCCCACGAGAGCAACTTGTGTCCCAGGCCTACAACTGTGCCTGGTAGTTGTCCTAGGTTAACTCACCAATGGCAAAAGACTAGTGGGACTGTTTTAGGGCAGCCCCAATATTGAACGGGTTGCCTGGCTGTGGGTCCTCACCCGCGCTTAAAAGGGACTTATTAATACAACACTGCAGGCACACACAAAAGGTTCATAAAAGGTTTATTTGCAAGGGAAAAGGAAATGAGGAAAATGTACAACTCAGGGAGAAAATAGGGAAATAAAGTCTTTAATGCGTCCTACCCGATCCGCCGACCTGGAAACCCAAAGGCACTCTCAGAGCTGGCCAAGCACTTCGAGCTGGCAGAGAGCCAAAAAGAGAATCCCCCAAAGCCCACGTGTCTGCCTTTATACCAACCTGGCTGCTGAACCCCACCCTCAGGTCCCAGCCACCTTCCCTTGGGTGGGGATGGGATGTGGAGTTCCCAGTGTCTTTGGCTTTGCCCTGGGGTGGGGGTGGAGTCCACAAAGCCTGTATGGAATTAGCTTTAGGACATCCTTTTCCCCCTAACAGGACTTTCAGTTCTTGCTTTTCACCCTTCGCTGCAAGGGCGCAGAGGTCTACCCAGGGCCCATGTGGAGAAACTAGGACCGCAGCGACTCCCTCCAGGGCCGAGCTCCAGCCTGAGCGCAGAGGCGGAACCTTAAGGCGATGGAGCGCGCGAGTGGCGGAACCTGAAGGAGGCGGCATCCGGAGTGGTGGAACCTGGGATCCGGCGGAACCAGAGAGCGGCGCCCTCGGGGCTGCCCGGACTCAGTTAGCAGCGGAAGCGCAGTCGCCGCCTTCCTGGTTCCGGGTCGGTCCCGAGGGCCGGGGTGGGCCGCCGCGATGCTGCCCTACACCGTGAACTTCAAGGTGTCGGCGCGCACCCTCACCGGGGCGCTCAACGCCCACAACAAGGCGGCGGTGGACTGGTGAGGGCGCGGGCTCGCGGCCGCCGGGAGTATGTCCGGGGACGGGCAGAGAATGGGCTTTGCCCCCCGGTGTGGCCTCGCCGAGGCCGCCCCGCGCCGTGGAGTCTGTTTGGCGGCTTCGTGGCTGCTGTGAAATGAGGAAAAGCCCAAGTGGGGAGCCCCCCGCGCAAACATAGTCACCCCCCGTCTCTGCTCCCTTCCCCACGTCTCCTCCTTCCCGGCCTCCTCGCCAGTTCTCGCCCCGGCCTTCCCGCCCGCGGCCTCCTCCCCAGCTGCTCTGTCCCCTCCGTCTCGTCCCTGGTTTATCTTTATTGATCCAGCAATTGCCAAACCCTGTGGCGGGCGCCTGTTTTCTCACCTGTGCCTCCTGTCACCTGTGTCTTCTCACTGTGAAACGACACTGCCGCTTTGCAGGTGAACCGCTGGTCACATAATAAGGCCAAGTTGCATGGCCGTGGCTGGGCAGGTGTGGAGAGTTCGAACCCCCCCGCCCGGCCTTTGCCGGGTGACCTGCTTGGAAGGACGGGGCGGCTGTGCCGAGCGGGAACACAGGCCCTTTGTGGACGCTCCGGATTCCAAGTGGAATAAGCACAGGTGTCAGTCCTGGAGTGGCTTTATAGATCCGCACTGCTGGGTGCTTATCTCTTAGAACTCTTTTTAATCCTAAGGGAAAATGAATTTCAACAAGCTAGACCTTAGAGCTTTTATTTTAGTGGGACAGTGTATGATGCTGCCGTTGCACTTAAATAATTCTGTTAATGCTGATGTGTATTATTTAGATTTATCACCTATTTAGGATGCCTCTTGGCAATAGAGAAGTTAAGTCTTGTTTTATTTTTTACTTAAATTTCAACATTCCTTTTTTGCTAGGGGCTGGCAAGGTTTAATTGCTTATGGATGTCATTCGCTGGTGGTAGTGATTGATTCCAATACCGCCCAAACGCTTCAAGTTTTAGAAAAACATAAAGCTGATGTTGTCAAGGTAAGTCAGATCCACGTACCTATAGCATATTGTTTATTCTCAAGTACTATCACTAGCTGTTCTCAAGTATTAATTATCACTAATTAAGTCCCGTATATAAATGTTGACTAGCTTTCACATACCTCTTTGGGATAGCCTAGCACTTCCATTTAAATGACTTAATATCAATCCAGGATGTGCTATTAAAATGCAAGTTCTTAGGTCATTTTAAAGCTGATGGAAAGCAGTAATCCTACCATTTACCTAACCTTACCACTCATTCATTCAGTAGTTTTGAGCACTTAGCGTTTGCTAAGGATGTAGTGGTGAAAGCCTTCCAGCAATTGATTGTCTAATGAAGAAGAATGAAAAGAAAACACATACTCAGAGTGTGATAGTGAGACATCATGCTCTGCTGTAGGAAGACAAAGAAGCTACCTATCACCTAGCGGGGGCATCAAGGGAAGGTCACAGAAGTCTTTCCAGTGTGGAGGTTGGTAAACTGTAGTTAGCCAAGTAGAAATTGGGGGAGGAGCACTGCAGGAAGAAGGAAGCATGTACTCAGAGGTAAGTAGTGTGCCCTGGAGTGGCCAAGGGGAGTGGGGGGACACCCATGGAGAGTGAGGAGATTAACCTGTCCCAGAAGCTTTACGATTACACAGCAATTTAGATTTTTAAGTAGGAGATTAATGTGATCGTACTTGCATTTTAGAGAAACTCACGCCAGCAGCGGGGCTGGATCTATTGGAGAAAGGCAAAATGAGGCAGAGGGACTATATAGGAGACTTAGGCAGTAGCTCTGGTAGGACTTTCTAAGGGCCTAAAATAAAGTTGAGGCCTGAAGAAGTCATTCAGGTATTTAGGAACTGCTGAAGAGGTAAACTTGATAGCCTTTACAGTTGTCGATTTCAGGGTGAATCAGAAAATAGAATGACCCCATGGTGGTTTCTGTTTGAGTAACTGCGTGAGTGTTGGTGGGATAAGGTGAGTGTTGAAGTCAGTGAGCATAAATTTTCAATATACTGAGTCTGAGATGCCTGGAACAGTTGAATAATAGTGATCTGAAATTTTAGGAGAGAGGTTAGGATTAGAGAAGGAGATTTTGCTTTTTGTTTTCTTTTGTTTTTTGATAACAGTTTCATTGAAATAGACCAAAACATTCACCTATTTAAAAGATACAGTTTCATGGCTTTGAGAATATTCAGTTATAGCCATCACCACAGTCTTTATCACCCCCAAAGCCAAAGGAAACCCTGTACCCATTAGCACCTGTTCCCCCATTCTCTTCATCTCTGGGCAACCACTAATCTGCTTTCTGTCTTTGTGGATTTGCCTGTTCTGTACATTTTAATGTCAGTGAAATCATATACTAGGTTCCCTTTTGGGCTTGCCTTTTGCGTAGCATAGTGTTTCCCAATCCTTCCATGTTGAGGCATATTCCTTTCCATGGCTGAATAATTTTCTACTATATGAATGTTCCATATTTATATATTTATGAACATTTGGTATTTCCAACTTTTTAGGTACCATGAATAATAGTGCTGTGCATATTCATGCACAAGCTTGTATGTGAACCTTTGTTTTCATTTCTCTTGGGTATATGCAGGAATAGAATTGCTAACTTACGTGGAAACTCTGTGTTTAACTTTTTGAGGAACTGCCAGACTTGAAGCTGCATTATTTACACTCACATTAGCAGTGCGTGAGAATTCCAGTTTCACCACACCCTCTCCCATGCTTGTTATTGTCTGTCCTTTTGATGGTAGCATTTCGGTGGCTATGAAGTGGTTCTCGTTGTGGCTAAGGATGTTGAGCATCTTTTCATGTGCTTATTGGCCACCATTTGTGTATCTTCGAGAAATACCTGTTTAGTCTTTCACTCATTTAAAATGATTTGTCTTCTCATTATTGAGTTGTAAGGAGTTCTTTACACAGGTCTCTTTGCAGATAAATGGTTGGCAGTTTTCTCTCCATGTGTGGATTGTGTTTTACTCTCTTGATAGTGTCTTAATGAAGCAGAAACATTTTAGTTTTGACGTAGTCCAATTTTGGTTGCTGTATCCAGGAAGCCATTGTTTTTTTTCAAAGTCAGTATTTACACCTGTTTTCTCCTAAAATTTTTATTGTTTTACAGTTAGATTCTTAATCTATTTTGTGTTAGTTTTCCCCTACTTTTATTGAGAAATAATTGACATGGTGTTAACTTTCAAAAAAGAGAAAGATTTATTTATACGTATAAGAACTGGGGTACAGACCAGAGGTGTGTGTGTGGGGTGGGGAAGGGGTGAGAGGATTCACCAGAGGCAGAGTGGGGAGCAGAATAGGCGATTTGACTGAAATACACTGCTGAGGGGAGCAGCGGGTGAGAGAGGAGAGGTCTGCTGCACCATGTGGATTGCTTTCTGGCTGGCCGGGGATCTAATTTGTGCTACAGTGGCTGGGGATAGCTTGATAGCGCTGTCTTTAACTCCTGTGCCACCAGGGAGGCCCTATTTTGGAGTTTTTAATCTGAATTTCTCAAAATATTAGGACTCTGTGTTTCTCATTTTAAATGTAGGAACATTGTGATGTTTAAAAAAATACTTCAACTGCAATTTTAAAAAAAGTGTTTGACTTTCAAGATGGAAACCAGTTTCCTGTTTATTCTCATATATACTTTTGTAACATAACTGTAGAATGTAGTATGGGTTGTGGCAGATGTTTTGTGAAAATTATGTTTGGTTTCATCCATTGCAAATATTTACTTGATTTCTTCTTGATACCAGGTTAAATGGGCCAGGGAAAATTATCACCATAACATTGGCTCACCATATTCCTTGCGCTTAGCTTCCGCTGATGTCAATGGGAAGATCATCGTATGGGATGTAGCAGCAGGAGTAGCTCAGTGTGAGATCCAAGAGCATGCCAGACCTATTCAGGGTGAGAAAGTCTGCTGAGTATTTGTGTTGATACACTTACTCATGAAGTGGGGTTTTTCCATTCATTTAATTTCAACCCTTTCCTGCTAACTATTAAATGTTTAGCCTGTCCTACTGATCTGAATCTATCTTTCTTTTCCTTGTCAGTACACTTGTGGGTTTATTTCCTCAAATCTCAGTTGATTTCTTCTTTGGTTAAATGTGTTAATTTTCAACCTCAGCCTCAGTCAAGCATGATGGGGAAAATAAAGCTGCTACCAACAGTCTTGTTATGGGCGCAACTGCTGTTCTGAATTAACTTTCAGTGCTTACTTTCTCTTCATGGCGATGATCAAAACCTTATTCTTATTTTCATTTAGAGCATTTGTTTGCTTGTTTATGTTACTGACCTAAACCAATACAGCATTCTTTAGACTCAAGGCTTTGACTGAATGGCTTTCTGTGCTGAATGAATTGTTTAAATCACTATTTAAAAAATACTTGTTTAATACTTACTATGTGCTGGATAACAAACTAGATTATTCTGTTGATCGTTGTGAAAAAATCAAGAGACTCAGCAAACTCCTAGATGACTTTGTTGATCACATAGATGGTCTTTAACAGCAAGTGTGAAGTAATGATTGGTGCAAATTGCCTTGTGTTTTCTTTGAAGTAATGAATTTCAGATTACTTGAAAATTTTGACCTTGAGATCTTCATGTTCAGACAGCTCTTTTTTATAAAATATCAGCCTTTTTATCTGCAATCTTGACACATATACGCACAACATTGAAGTGAGGGGCAGAATTACTATTTGAAGGATTATGTAAAAAAGATAAACTGGACATTAAGGGTACATTAGCCACGTGTTTTGAAGTGAATGATTTCTGAATTTTGCCTTTATTTCTCTGGTCTTTACAGATGTGCAGTGGTTGTGGAATCAAGATGCTTCACGAGATCTGCTGCTCGCCATCCACCCACCAAATTATATCGTGCTCTGGAATGCAGATACTGGCACCAAGCTGTGGAAGAAGAGCTATGCAGATAACATTCTTTCTTTTTCTTTTGACCCTTTTGATCCCTCACATTTAACCTGTGAGTGATAGTTTCTTGTGGAAAATTCGTTATAATGTTGGAATTCTGTATACTCTACTAAATTCTACGTACACCAATTATTTTAAATCCTATATACATAAATTGTACTGTCTTCTGTATATGTAAGATAGACACAACACATCATACTAGAACACATTTGTAATCTTAAAACGACTAGGCAAAGTCGAGATACACATCAAGTCCATGCTATCTGCAGATGCTAAGTCATAGCCCCATGTCATGTGCAAGTACTTCAACAGTTAGCATTTAAATCTGTTGGCTGCCCCTTCACTGTGTTGAATTTGTGAGTAGAATTTTATTAGCCCGGGAGACAGAGTTGCTATGCTGTTGTAATGCAGATATAATTAAATTTGTTTTTCTAGGAAGCTTTGAGAAGCTGAGTCAAGGCTTTCATGTAGGCTGTGGCCTTTCTTTTTAAAGAATCACTATGATTCATGGCATGCATTTTGAGCGCCATAAACAGATGCATATGGGGAACAGAATAAGCCCATAGGTATTTTTCCTTGCAGAAGTAGTTTTTGCCAGTGCATTTTTGACAGTTTATAGAGCCATTGATCTATTAGATGTGTATTTACATAGGGTTTTTTTGTGTTAATTATTTAGGAAATATTTTTTATTATCCAGCAGATGTTTCTTGAGCTTTTACTACATGTCAGACACATTCTGAGAACCTGGAATATATCAGTGAACTAAGACAAGGGTTCCTGCCTTCGTCGTGTTTGCATTCTAGTGAGAGGGAGTCAGATCATAAGCTGTGGATGTAATTAATCAATTCTAGTATAGAGAGATAATAAGTGGTATAATAAAGTAAAATGTGATAATGGGAATGGGTGGAGGGAGCAGCAGGTAGTTGTATTGAGATATTTACAGTCTGCAGTCCTGACACACACACAGGCAACACTGAAGTGGGGGCTTTATTTTGATATTTGATCAAAAACTTAAAAGGACAAATTAGCAACAGTAAAGAATATTTTCCTGGATTTGAATGCCTCGCAATTCTAATGTGTCACCACCAATTTATGAGGGGTGTGTGTGTGTGAAAGGAGGAAGAAAAGGGCAGACAAGTAAAAATGAAAAAGGAAACCTGTCTGTATAAACTTCCGCAATACTACGAGTTCAGGCTTTGTGTAGATGAGCCTATGTGAATAAACGTGCATCTGCACATGCTCTGATTTGCTATGAGATGCAGTGCTGGGGGAGCACAGAACAGCTGGTGGGGCTGGTAGCTTCAGGGAGGGAGGGCATGGCAAAAGGAGGGGAGGGGTGGGATCTTGAAGGGTGAGTTTTGTAATCTGAAGAACAGGAGATAGGGTTTCCGCCTCACTCATCGACCCCCTGTAGTTTGGTTGATGGAAGCATAATATTTTTGGGTGTCAGTTGGCCTGACATCTTTGACTCATTCATGTTCAGGTAATCACAGCTGTTGAATACTTCTAGAGTTGTCACATCTTTTGAATTCTTGTTTCCTGTGCGTAAGCCTCACTGGAGAACCAGAGTAGACAAGATTTTTCTGCTCAGATATCCCTATCCTAGCCCCAGTTTTGAGGGAGACTCATTTTTCAGTCACAAACAGGCCTAATTTGTATTGCTCAATGAGGTGCTGCCTCCTGGAATATTTGGCTTCCTGTATACTTAGGAAGCCACTGTTGCATTTATTTTTTGTTCTAGATATAAAGAGAAAAGAATAGTTTTTATGTTAAACACTTAAGTTCAATCTGATGCTCACCAAGAGAAAGGAAATATAGTTGGACTGAAAAGCTTGTGATAATCATAAAAAAATCAGTGTCTTCAAATATTTGAAATGAGCTAAGTGTGACATGCAGCGTCATACATGGGGTTTTCTTTTCTGTAATTCTTACATTCTGAAGTCTTTGGATTTTGAAGTTCCTGAATCTAATGAGGAAAGATTTTTAATGAAAGTTTGTGCACTGAATTTATGTGGAAGAACAAATATTTGTTCTTTCTACCAATAACCTTCTGGTATCTTTTTAATATAAAACATTAATTCAGAATGCTCAGCTTGGAGGCTTCTGATGAATTGTAATGGACCACCTGTTTCACTTCAGTGTGGAGAATGTCCCCACCCTGTTATGAGTACATAACACTGCCAGCTCTGTATTATTAAAATGTTCATTACTTTGCTCTCAAAACTGTATTGGAATGAAATTCTCTGCTAAACTTGATTAAATTTTAATCAGCGTTTACTTTTTTTCCCAATCTAGTACTCACCAGTGAGGGTATTGTGTTCATCTCAGACTTTTCTCCATCTAAGCCTCCCTCAGGCCCTGGGAAAAAAGTTTACATATCCAGCCCACACTCTAGCCCAGCTCATAACAAGCTGGCTGCAGCCACAGGTGCCAAGAAGGCTCTGAATAAAGTAAAAATCTTACTCACGCAAGAGAAGCCTAGGTAAGTTACAAGTGTACCTGATATAAGTCATCTGTTTATCATTTGTTTGGAGGTGTAGAGGATTGACTTTCCTTATCTGAACCCTTCATGCTTCTAATTTCACTTCTAAATTTATTAGAGCAAATTCATTCTTTTAGTCTTTTCCCCTAGGAGGAGGAGATTCAGCCTCAACATGGTTTCTTTGTTTTTCACTAATAGTGCTAATCCCCTCCTCCCAACCCCATTGACTTCTAAAATATGATGTGATACTTCTAAAGATGAGGCTGTTAAGTACATTTAAAGTTGGGGGAGAAAGCTGGATCATTTTAAATACATTTTCCTGCCTTACATGTTGTGCACTTTCATTAGCCAGTAAAATGTGCAGGTAAGATGTTTCACACATGGTTAAGGGCCTGAGTCTAGGAGGAGCTGTAGCTCTGTGACCCTGAGAAAATTGATTCCTTTTGCTTAAATTTCACTTTCCCAACAAAGGATTGTAAAGGTTTTCATATAGTTTTAAGAATTAGAACTTAAGGACTTAGCATAGTGACTGATGCTTAGAAAGTATTCATTTGGTAGATGCTAGCTATTAGTGTTTATTTCAGAATGTACAGCAGAATGAAATTTTAAGTAACCTATTTCATGCATTAGAAATAGATTTCTTTTACCTAGAGCTTTGATTATTATATTTTTATTGCTTTAATGGTGTTTTTTGCATGTATTTATAAAGTCTCTTTAATATGCTATAAAGTTATTCTGTGATTAGAATAATCTTTTTGTGGGTAATTACCTGGAAAACTGTATTGTGAAGTATAAATTGTACAGATAATTCTAAATTGATATGTAGATATGAATTTTATGTATTAAACCATAGCTGGGTTGTCTAATTTATCCCTCATCACCACCACCCCGCCCCCCCCGCCCATGAAATAATATAAAGTAGCTTCTTAAATATTTTCAGGGAACTTCCTATTTATTTTTCATTGATTCTGTGTCATAAATAGGTGTTTTTGGTAATCTCACTAGTTTTGTAAGTTGTGATTTATGTTTATTTTCTTCCTTGTGAATGATATGTTCATATGTTCACTTTGAATATTAGGGAAATACATTTTATATCCCTTAAATGGAATGATTGTGGGTTCTTCCCCATACATTGTTACATATAACTTCACTAGAATCCTGGAAAGTAGTATTGAGTCCCCCATTCTTGAAATCTGTTGGTAAAGTCACTCAACAAGGAATTGGCAGAGCCAGGATTGAAATTTAATCCACACCTTTTTTCTAATCTGACTTTATTTTAAATTGCAAAACCTCTTAAAATTGCGGTATAGGACCTCTCTGGTGGCGCAGGGGGTTGAGACGCAGCCTGTGAGGCTTTCCGCAGCCACTGCAGCACGAGTTCGATCCCTGGCCAGGAAACTACACACATGGTACAGCGGACCTCTCCTGTCTCGCCTATTGCTCCTGTCAGCAGTGTGTTTCGGTCGGTCTGCCTGTTCTGTTCCCCACTCTGTCTCTGGTGGGTCCTCTCACCCCCCCCCACACCTCTGGCCTATGCCCCAGTTCTTGTGTGCATAAATAAATAAATCTTCAAAAAAAAATGCCATGTAAAAAGAAAATAGTATACATTATGTCTGTTCCTATTGAAATATATTTAATGTTAAAATGTGATTATTAAATCACACTTTATAAGCAACACTCACAAATTACTAAAATGATTTTTTTAAAAGGTTTATTTATTCATGCATACAGGAACCGGGGTACAGGCCAGATGTGCGGGAGGGTGAGAGGATTCACCAGAGACAGGATGGGGAGCAGAACAGGCAGACTGACTTAAATACACTGCTGAGGGGAGCAGCGAGTGAGACAAGAGAGGTCTGCCGCACCACGTGGATATCTCCCCGGCTGGCCGGGATCAAACCCGCACTGCAGAGGCTGCGGACAGCTTCACAGCGCTGCTCTCAACTGCCTGTGGGAGGCCACTAAAATTATTTTTAATACTCTTTGAAGAGTCTTTTGTAATCCTGATAGTTTCTTTTATTTACTCAGATGAACATGCTGAAATGACTGAATTAAATATCCCAGTTTATTGCAAAGACAGATTTAAGACAGCATAAAAGTGAATGAAGGCAGAGTAGAGGAAGTGCCGTGCCTGAGGCCCACAGGTCGTCCCCACCCAGTGGCTGTAGTGGTGGTGGTGGCAGTCTGTATAGTGGTCAAATTAAAAAATCCCAAATTACTGTCTTATGAATGCCAGTGGCGGCTTCTACTTTAAATTTTTCAGAATTTTAGACACACATCTCTATCCAGCCTGTACAGTATTATTGCTATAATTTGGATTTTGACTGAAGGCCAGGTCTAAGTTTTGGGTGCTAGCTCAGGTTGGTCATTTCAGGAAATAGTTCTACATTCTTATTAACAATTATTAGGTGGAAAGTGCAAAAGTTAATCCTTTACTAGCTTTTTCTGATGTAAGTATCTCCATGCCTAAAGTAAATGTTTCCCTTTTTTTCAGTGCTGAGTTCATTACTCTGAATGATTGCCTTCAGTTGGCTTATCTGCCTTCCAAAAGAAATCACATGCTGTTACTCTATCCTCGGGAGATTTTAATCCTTGACCTTGAGGTGAATCAGACAGTGGGTGTGATTGCAATAGAACGAACAGGAATTCCATTTTTGCAGGTATGGACAATTTGTAAATTATACCCCTTAAAGTTGATTATGAAAGTTACATAGCGAGAAGCTACATACTCTTGCGAAAGTCCTCAGTTCTGCTTTCTCTTTTGTATTTATTTAAAGATTAACAATGTTGTTTTATGCCTTATTTTTCTGCACTGTTGTGTTGATTTATCCCAGAAATTTTGCTTTATCTGGAGATATTTACTGAACTATTTAAGTAACATGTATAAAGAGAAATTTTTTAGTATTATGAATGGGTTTTTAAAATACTAATTTAGCTGTAAAGCTTGGCAACAGCTTGTATATTTTGTTTTTTTGCCTGTATTCTCTAAAGCTGAGTTTATGAGTTTCACGGTATATACTTTATTGTTCTATTGTAATTTTAAAAGTAAATGCATCTCTCTTTAAAGGTAATACCCTGCTTTCAACGTGATGGTTTATTTTGCCTACATGAAAACGGTTGTATAACCTTACGTGTTCGGAGATCTTATAATAATATTTTCACCACTTCAACTGAGGAACCAGGTGAGTCTATATCTTGCAATAATGTTAATTATATTTTTCTTCACAATTATTTTCTGAAGCTTCATGTTGCAAATACCAGCCAAAGCAAGGAATTAATGAGAATCCTTGCCTTAAGAAAGTGGAATATGATAGTGTACCTCCTACTTACAACAGAGAAAGTAATACCTTGTAACTCATTGTGTCCATGATCCAGTAGATGTTCCTTCTGTGAATTTTTCTAGCACAGGTCCAACCTTGTGTATATATCATTATTATATCCCCTTCACTTGTCTGCTCTGGTAATTTCCATTATAAAGTGACAAGTTTAAGACTGAAAATGACCTCATTTTCAGTCTTATCATGGAGAATAAAAATTATGTTTTTGTGAAATGATGTACTAAGCAAAGGTGAATGTGACCACTGCAGTTATGATTGTCTTTCTCAACTGCTTATTATTTAATCATGCATCATTGATCTTTTTCCAAAACATTTTATTTCTTTTAAAAAATATTTTAAAGCAAGTGATCTTTGATCAGTTGTTTTGAAAATTAAACTTTGTGTAGATCATCTTTAAGTGCATTATCTTTATAATTATACTCTGAAAAAATTAGTTATAATTATAAAAGGGGAAGCTATGCTTGACTAACTCTGCAATAGTGAAGGAATATTATCCTTTTTAGTTGAGGTTTTTACTTAAATGAAAAGGTTTTATTTTGAGGTTTTATTTAAATGATATGGTTGTGTTCTGAATTTTTAAAAGAAAACAATATTATGTTAAGACCCAGATCCTGTCCAGGAACTTAACTATGATTTACGAAGCCAGTGTGATGCAATCCGCGTGACAAAAACTGTCCGTCCCTTCAGCATGGTGTGTTGTCCTGTCAACGAGAATGCGGCTGCCCTCATAGTGAGTGATGGCAGAGTCATGATATGGGAACTGAAGTCTGCTGCTTGTCACCGAAATTCACGGAACAGGTAAATAAGTCAAGAGGATTGGGGTTTTCTGATCTTTCTTTTTATTTAAAATTACCACAATCATATAATGATAGAGACTTTTTCTGTGAAAATATTTTTAAAATGATACTTAAAACTTTACACTACTAGGGGGCTATGTAAACCTGCTAGAGATATTTCACTTATAGGTAAAATTAATAAATACTGTAAAAATAGGCAGAATGTCAGTCCTGAGCTGAAATTACTGATATGCAGTGAAGATCTTAACGTGAAACCCTCTGTCATCTGTCTCTGCAGTAGCTCTGGTGTGTCACCTTTGTACTCACCAGTGTCTTTCTGTGGGATTCCTGTTGGAGCGCTGCAGAATAAACTTCCAGATCTCTCCTTAGATAACATGATCGGTAAGCTTTTGTTGTTTCTCTACTTCTCATGTGAGGGATTGGTTTTGAAGGGCCAAATCTAAGTAGAATCATTGATGGGCAATTATAATCAAAGTTAATACTTAAGAAAACTAAACTGTAGAATCATTCTCTCCTAAATAGGAGAAGCATAAAATATAATTAAGCACTAAAAGTCCCTAAAGTAGCCTAGATTTTTTTCCAGTTATTGGAATTAGACTGTTCATTCATGAGAGACTCTGATTCAAATGAAAGATGCCAGACACTGGGCATCTGGGTTCTAGATGAAGCCCTTGCTGGAGCTACCACCCCCCCTCTCAGCTTTCACGTGCCCACCCTCAGATCAGAATTGAATAACTGCATCTTTCTGCAACTCCTAATTCTAAATTCAACTCAAGCACTGCTTTCCTTAATCTCTCAAGCCTGATTTCAGTCTTATTTTGTGGTCCCTAATAGTTGTCATCTGTGTTGTAGTTGTGTTATTTATTTACCTGTTTCCTCCAGTCAGTTGTAAGGTCCATAAGAGTGGGATGGTATTTGATTCAACCTTGTATTCCTAGCACTCAGCAGAGGGCCTTGTACATTCCAGGTGTGCATGTTTTGTGTTTTTTTAATAAGCTTTATTTTTTTTTATTTATACAAGAGCTGGGGTACAGGCCAGAGGCGCGGGAGGACAAGAGGATTCACCAGAGACAGAGTGGGGAGCAGAACAGGCAGAGAGACCGAAAGCACTACTGAGGGGAGCAGCGGGCGCCACAGAAGAGGTCTGCCACGCCATGTGGGTATCTCCCTGGCTGGCCTGGAATCAAACTCACGCTACACAGGCTGCAGACAGCTTCATAGCGCTGCACTCAACCCGCTGTGCCACCGGGGAAGCCCCTTTTTTTTGTTTTTGGTGAAAAAAGTTTTTTAAAATTGAAGTGACATTGGTTTATATCCCCGTGTATGTTATAGGACTGTAGGTTCACACCTTCTCAAATGTTAGTTGTCATTCCATTTCCACCACCAAAGTACCACTAACCCTCCACCACATTCCACTGGACCTCCTTTGCTCATCCCTGTTTCCCACTCTGGTATCCTCAATTTGGGGGTCAGAATTCAAGGGTTTGTTTCGTCTGGTCTCTTTGTGTCTTTACATTCCACGTGAGTGAAATTATTTGGTATTTTTCTCCTGATTTGTTTCTGTTTTGCATAATTCCATCATGCTCCATCCATGTTGTCCCATATCACAAGGTTTTATCTTTTTATAGCTGAGTAGTATTCCATTGTATGTATATGTATCTGTGTGTGTGTGTTTATGTGCGTACACATGCATGCACCTGTGCATGCACACACATACCCTACATCTTTATCCTCTTATCTGTCAGGGGGAACTTAGGTTGTTTGCTTATTTTGGCAGTGTCCAAAGGACACTGCACGAGTTTACATTCCTACCAATGGTGTGTAAAGGTTCCTTTTTTCTACGCTTGACATTTGTTGTTTCTGGTCTTTTAGATATATAGGCCATGCTCCTAGGTGTGAGGTGATATCTCATTGTGGTTTTGATTTGCATTTCCCTAAAGTGATGGTATGCCTGTTGGCCGTCTCTGTGTCTGCATTAGAGAAATGTCTCTTCGTATCGTCTGCCCATGTTTTGATTGGGTTATTTGTGTTTGTTGTTGTGTGACATCTTTATATATCTTGGATATTAAACTCTTGTCAGATGTACAATGTGCAAATATTTTCTCCCATTCAGCAGTATGCCTTTTTTGTATTGATAGATTCTTTTGATGTGCAAAGCTTTTTAAATTGATGTAGTCACCTTTGTTTATTTTTGCCTTTGTTTCTTTTGCTGTTAGGATCAAAGCCCCAAACATCTCTAATGAAAGCCACTGTCAGGGAGTATATTGCCCAGGTTTTTTTCTATGTAATCTATGGTTTCAGGTTTTACATCCAACTCTTTAATGTATTTTGAATTACTTTTTGTAAATGATGTGAGATAGTGGTCTAGTTTCATTTGCAGTTTTCCTAATATCCAGTTTTCCCAATATTATTTATTGAAGAGACTTTCCTTTATCCTTTGTATGCTCTTGGCTCCTTTGTTGTAGATTAGCAGTTCATATATGTGGGGGTTTATTTCTTGGCCCTCAATTCTATTGCAGTGATCTATGTGTCTCTTTTTATTCCACTGCACAATGTTTTGACAACTGCCACTTTGCGGTATAGTTTGAATTGCAGGAGTGTGTTATCTCTGTTCTTTTCTACTCAGGATGCTTTGACAATTCAGGTTTTTTTGTGGTTCCATGCAACTTTTTGTAATACTTGTTCTACTTCCTTGAAGAATGCCATTGGAATTTTGATAAGGATTGCATTGAATCTGTATATCGTTTTGGATAAGATGACCACTTAATGTTTATTCTTTTAATCCATGAGTACAGAATATCTTTCCATTACTTTGTGTTGTTTCCTATTTCTTTTAACAATTTCTTAAAGTTTTCATTGTACAGATCTTTCTAGCATGCAGTATTTAATTGAAGGAATGAAGGAACTGAACAACATTAGAAAAAAATAATTTTAGTCTTTTGACATACATTTTCTTAGTTTGGGATTCTTCAAACAACTATTTATTTGCAGATAAAATATTATTTCCAAGTTTTTTTATTGGGCCAGTATATATTAAAGAAAGAATGAGGATTTGTGAGTTTGAATATTATACACCTAGAATTACAAGACTTTGTAAATAGGCCAAAAAAATTGGAATTATATCAAGTAATTTTGACATCTAATTCTTTGAAAATTGTGATGTAGTTTATAAAGGACTTTCTATATTATTTTACTTCCATACTGTAATTGAAAATAGATATTATTTAGTAGTTTCTTGTTTAAATGTTAGGTATGACATTTATTGTATGCTTAGTACTGTAAGTAAAATGATAAATGCTCTAGATAGTATAGCAACCCTGCAGGCAATATTGTTTCCATTTTTCATATGTGGGAATTGAGAACCAGGGAGATTTTAAAGAATTGCCCCAAACCACATAGCTAATAGGAGAAGAATCAAAATGTGACCCAGCCAACCAGTCTAGAACTTGCTCCTTGGCCATGGCCTCAGTTCTTTCTGTTCCACAATGATCTTAGGCAAGACCTGAGCTCTCCAGGCCTTTTTTTTTAAGATTGATTTATTTATACAAGAACTGGGGTACAGGCCAGAGATACAGGAGGTGAGAGGATTCACCAAAGACAGAGCAGGGAACAGAACAGACAGACTGACCGATATACACTGCTGAGGGGAGCAGCAGGCACGACAGGAGAGGTCTGCTGCACCATGTGGATATCTCCCTGGCCGGCCGGATTGAACCTGCACTGCAGAGGCTGCAGATAGCCTCACAGCACTGTGCCTAGCCACCTGCGCCACTAGGTTTCCTCACGATTTCTACCAGTGGTAAAATCTTTTTGTTCCTTGACACATATTTGAATTTCTTTCTCTTCATGTCCAGACATAAAGCTATATGAGGAAGTTTAGACACTTGTTTACAATATTCATTTTATCAGTAACACAATTTTCTGAGTTAATTGACCTTGTCTGCACTTGATATAAAATATTAAAGTGAAAAGAATCATAAACATTTATACCCAGAACTAATCCATTCAGGCGAAACTCATAGAACGCTTGAAATTTTATGCTGTGTAGGTACCTAAATGATACAAATTACATTTTTTTAGGAGGCAAAAACATACAGATTGTATAGCAATTCTTGACAATACAATTGATTTAAAAATACTAAATAAGTAAAGCTTTGTTACTTGAAAACATTTTAATTAAAACTTAATTAAACTTTTAATTTGAAATTCACTGCATACTTAGTGATAATTGAAAACAGTTCAGTTAAATACAGAGGTTTGATTTATATTCATTGTGTAAGAGCTGCTGCTTATTAAGGCCTGATCTGCCCTACCTTGTGAATTGCCTCTTGTGGAAGATGCTTGAAGAAAAATGTGGCAGTTCCTCAGAGTCAACTTCAGCCTACCAAGGATAGGTAGACATGGGCCTAACTGTTGAACTTCCCTTTCCTTTAGACCCCATCTTTTGTTACTAAAAACTGATATTAATTGTATGGCTGATCCTAAGGGATCAATTTATTTGGATTAAATTGATGACCATCTTTTTTGTGCGTATCTTATGGATTTTAAAATATTGTAACGATGACCTCACAACTTCAAAGGTTATAATCAGAGTTCCATCACACACTCCTAGTAATTTATACTTTTCATATTTACAGTATAAATGTGTGTGTATGTACATATAACTCTACACTCACAAATGGGCTCTATTATGTCATATATATTATGTAGTCATAAACTATAATGTATAGTTTTCTATTTTTTACATATGTATGTAATAATGAAGTTTAAATTTTGTAGTTAACATAGTAAGGACATTTCTTATTAGACACCTAAATGAGGTCTTTGAGCCTGCTGATTGTGATTACCAGTTTGATGTATACTTTTTAAAGTACATCAGACTGAAAGGTAATCCTTCAGAAAGTCAGTGCGAGGGGAATAGGCAGTGGCATTCCTCTCTGCTGCCACTGCTCCACACCCAGGGCTCTTGAATCACCTTTCTTTAGTTAGCTAATACCAAGAACTTTAGCTGAAATAGTGTTTTTTAGACGTCAAAGGTCCCTGATTCCTGGATACCAATACTTGGGAGTAATCTCTCCCTGGAGATGTTGGAGGATGATGTTTAAGCGCCGTAGCCGAGGACAGGGCGTTGCGTAGCCGCATGCTCATAGTGCTCCATTGCACCGCAATGGACTTTAAGAGCATTTCTTCTAGTCCCAAATCTGTCTCCCATGAGTTTTTTTAGATTTTTAAGATCAGCATACATTATAATTAAGGTATTTTTATTATTTGAAATTAGGGCAAAGTGCAGTTGCTGGGGAAGAACAGCCCAAAGGTTCCATTCTGCAGGAAGTGCACCTCAAATTCCTGCTAACAGGACTGCTTTCGGGGCTGCCCTCACCACAGTTTGCTATCCGCATGTGCCCACCGTTGACCACAAAAAACATCAAGATGTATCAGCCACTGCTTGCTGTTGGTGAGTGTGGGTCCTCTTTTACATCTGATAAGACGTTTATACTTGCTTTTTGTTAGGAAATCCTGTATTCTCTTTGAGAACGCTTTCAAGGGAGAAAGAGGCTAAATGTTCATGAGAACACTGATTTTGAAAGGTTTCTCTTTTTTTTTTTTGTCCTTTCAATACACCCATCTCTTTATTTATTTATTTTTAATCACATGATAACTCATCCACCTGACACCACCCGACAGAGGCCTTGATACTGTGGGTATGTTTCTGGAGTGGCAGAAGGCGAGCTCCTGCGGGACACTGGGTCTGCACACTCTGTCTCTTCTGGGGCCATCCAGGCTCTTTCTATGTGTGTCATTTTGTATCGGGTTTTTGTTAACTAATAATGTAGTTACAGTCAATCATGTAATAACAGCACTGTTCTTTTTGCTAAGAATTGAATATTAAACATTGCTTAAAGGGACTGTGGTCTCTGTAAATTAAGATTTGCCTTTTGGATTAAAATTGCATATTTTTATGTTGTGGATAGAAAAATTGGTCTGAGTTTCAACTTGCCACATTAATTTCATAGTACCATGAATCTGATTTTCTTGACAGAGGAACCAGTATTTTACTATTAAAAATATAAGGTTAAATTGTATTTCACTAAACTTGAAAAACAATATATTTGTTGAAAGGTTGAAGTTGTCAACCTTTTTTCTTAAGATGCTATTGGTTGGCTTCTAGCTTTTTTCCCCTAGGTCTGTAAACATGATTTCCATTTCTTTTTTCCCTAAAATTAAAATCTGATGACATTTATGTTGTGGCTAATGGTCTCAGTTTAAAGACTGACTTCTCAGTATCCTAAGAATTCATTGAGTCTGACTACTTGGCAGTATTTTTATTTTCTCATTTTCCCTATTAGTACTACCTTGTGAAAGTGATTTGAATGATAAAGTTAAGTAGTCTGTGCACGTGTCCAGATTTTGTAAGTACAGGTAAATGTTTAAATTTTGTTTTAGAAACTTCTGATTCATAGTAAACCTCTTACAGAAATTGGAATTAGGATTTGCCAGTGTATATTATACGTACAGGTATGTACAGTGTCGAGGTATCTAATTTGTCAATTTCTTAGAGAAAACTATGTCGTGGGATAGCTGAATATTAAGAGCAAAGTCTGCGTCTGAGATGTCTAGTGTAGAATAAGCCTCACTATACTGGCATAGAATGAATATCTAGTCTTTTATTGAATTTAGTATAATGAAGTAAAAGCAAAGAAATATAAAATAGTATGAGAATTATATTTATAATAAGAAATACAAAGTTTTGCAGAGTGATTAGGGAAGAGCAGCAGAGTTCCACCATGGGACTCTGTGTCTCTCTAGAACATTAGACTGAACATCATTAAAGCTTGCAAAATGTAGAATAATTTGATTATTATGAAGATTTGTTAATTGAAAAAAGTTTAGTTTTGAGGACTGGTTGTAATAAACACTCCAAATCTCAAAAAGCATAAACTCCCATGTAGAAAAAAGCTTGGGAAAATGCTTCCTCAAATTTTATGGGTATTGAGTTAGATCTTGAAGTCATTCTATGCAAGTTTATCCCTGGATTTAGGTAAGATTTCAGAGCATATGAGAGTTAGCTCTTTTTTTCATGAGAGAGATGACAGTGAAATTGATTTTTTTTTTTTACTATGTAGCTTTAGTTCCTTTTATAAAAGGAGACTGTAATTAGGATTTGCCAGTGTATATTATACGTACATGTATGTATAATGCCGAGGTATCTAATTTGTCAATTTCTTAGAGAAAACTGCGTCTTGGGATAGCTGGATATTAAGTAATAGATGTAGTAGAATTAAAATTTTAAGAAAAGATTTTTGTTGGAAAACTCTGGAACTCCATCCAGAGATGGTGCTCAAGAGGTTGCTGAAATACTCTCTTGTGGCGTCATCTTCCAGGCACCAGCAACGGCTCTGTGTTGGTGTACCATCTCACCAGTGGGCTGCTGCACAAGGAGCTCAGCATCCACTCGTGTGAAGTCAAGTGAGTTTGCCTTTGTGACGTTACAATTGAACGTACGTAATACCTGAGAAAAGACCTGGTAGGCTTTTCTGTGCAGTATAGAATTTTTTCCTTATCTTTATTGCTGCCTCTTATTTTTTTTTTACCTAACGTCCAGAGTATTTTCTCACTGGAAGTTCATTGTAGTCCCCTATTTAGGTTTATATAGTTTGATTTCCTCTTCTATAAAGATCTGTACAATCATGTTCATTATTAATCAGTCCCATTTATTTCTTTGTTTGAACACCATTAGAAAGGACCACAGCCTATAACATTTAGTTTTTTACTCTGAGACCTAATCTGTTCAGGTGTGCTGTCTTCTCAGAGAGCTCTGAGGGGAAGGCTGAAGTGATCAAAGATTCCTCTTGCCTTGTCCTAAGAGGCATATATGTCTCTCCAGAGCATTATTTTGCTGATTGCTTGACTGTTTCCCTTTGTAGCCCAGCAGCAGCAAGGGATTGTAAAGTTATATGTATATTTTTTGATGTCCTTTTTTTATCCTCTAGAGGTTGTGTAACTGTAGGTCCCATGTGTATGTTAAAATTCTTAATGAACCCTCTGTGAACACGTCATGAGAATTTTCTGAGTGGGGAAGAGTTATTAGCTTTTAAAGATTCACAACTACTGATTGTGATGGAAATTGTAAAAGTTTGCATTACCTTATTCTTTCCGGTGACTGTTTATCTTGACCTTATGCTGTGCGCTGCACTGTCTCCCTAAGGGTGTTCACATATAGTGATGTCTTCAGAAACATTAGACTTTCGGGGTGCAGTGCTACTGGTATATGTTTAGATCCTTTTGGGCCGTTCATCTTCTTTCTCTTCCTACAGTTGTCCCTGTTGCCACTGCTGTCTTTTCTCTGTCTGTCTGTGTTCTTCTGACATTGTCTTACCCTTGTCTTTTCATGTGTGCTGTTTCCTTCATGGCTGACACCCGCCAGTCAAAACTCCATTTCCTCAGTATTTGCTCTAAGTATTATGTTAAATATTAAGAGTTTGCATCTTTCATTTCGTTGAGTCTCTGCTACAACTCTACTAATTTCCGGTTTACAGAAGAAGAAACAGAGTATTTTAATCTGAGAAAAGGGTAGAGGGAATTCAATCTGGACCTTCCAGGTTTTAGAACTTGGCTCTTATTCTGACAGTGCATGTGCTAGATCTTCAGCTCAAAAATGCACATAGATTAGTAGGAAATATTTTGACAATAAAAGTATTGATTGAACTAAGTCATGCTAAGAATTTAGTACATACTTCTGGAAATCAAGCATATTTTCATTTTAATCAGAGCACTTAAATCTTTAATAAAGACACAATCACTGGCTTATTGGTGAGCTTTTCATTTTGTGTGAGATTTATTACCCCGGATTAGTTTATCAGTGTATCAATAAATCCATGACCTACATCTGCTGCGACAGTAGTGTTACTGAGTAACACTGAAATTACTTGAGATGTCAGACTGGTTTTGTGGATGATCACACAATTGTGCTCCATTTTTTAATACAAATTTTCCCTCTTAATTGCTATTTCGAAGATAATTCACATTTTTATCCAGAGATGGTGCTCAGGAGGTTGCTTAAATCATGCTGTCTTTGCATTTCAGTTCTAGCAATTGCATTAAATTAAAAGTCATGAAAATTTCACAGATGTTATAAAAATTGCTGAATTTATTAGCAAGCCCAATACATGCTGTCATTCATATGCAAATTAAGGGCCAACTTTTGAAAGATGTTTTTCTACCTTGTACTAAATGTGTCCTTTAAAACCACTTAATGCTGGGCCTCTCCTGGTGGCGCAGCGGTTGAGCGCTGGGCTGTGAAGCTGCCCGCAGCCTTTGCAGCGCTGGTTCGATCCCCGGCCACCAGCGAGGGTCTCACATGGCGCACAGACCTCTCCTGCTGCTCCCGCTGCTCCCCTCAGCAGTGTATTTCTTCGTCAGTCTGCCTGTTCTGTTCCTCGCTCTGGCTCTGGTGAATTCTCTCACCCTCCCGCACTTGTGACTGTACCCTGGTTCTTGTATAAATAAATAAATCTTAAAAAAAAAAATAAATAAAACCACCTACTTTTCAATACCAGAATTTTAGAAATACATGTGGCCAGGGCCTGCCTAAGTGCAGGTAGTTGTAACTGTTTTTTAAAACTATGATGTTTTAACCAGATGTACTTTATAAATATGTATGGTACACCTTCTTTATGCCTGTAAACAGACAAAACCTTTGAGGCTTACGTTCAGTGAAAGATGCTAGAAGTAAACAAAGGTGGAGTAGTACATGTAGATTTTCTTAAATTATTCATTTGTGCCTTTGTGCAGCGTGCCAAATTTATAATAGAACAGCCCAATACCACTTTCATTGTCAGAAATTATTGTAACATAGTTTATGTAGATATTAGAACCTTTACTCAGCATTGCTTTGAGTAAAATGAGTGATTGTGGAAAATAAAATACACTCTATTTTGCCTGTCTCTAAATTTGCAGAAGCTGGTTTCATATAACTGTAGAACTTCAAGGTCTTTCAGAAAGTGTGTCCTTCCCTTCTCTACCCGCCCCCGCCAGCTCACCAGTGTTGAGAAGTAGCCTCTATAGCATCCTCTGTGAACCCCAACAGGCTGCACTTAGGAATTGGTAGGACTCAGAGCCTCAAGTACCTGCAAGTTATAGTTGTTTGTAGTTAGGAAGCCTATAAAACAAACCTAGGGGGAATCAGATATGAGTTGCTCTCTACAAGTGTCTTATAGAGCTCAGCATACAGTTAAGTGTGGACAGTAGTTTTCCTGGGAGCAGTGTGGTGCTCAGCTGTTTGACAAGAGTTCTATGCTTTTCATTTGAGAAATAATCCCCTCCTCGTCGAATCCACTTTGAAGCCCAACTTGATTTTTATTTCTTAGTAGAAATGGGATATATGAACTGCTTCTCAATCCACTCAAAGGCAAAATACTCATAGTGCTAGATAGAAACAAGCAGTCACCCATGTTCTGTGTTGTCCTGAACACTGGACCCTTTGTCAGCAGTGGAGAGAGCCTGTTTCTGGCTATGTCTGACACTGATAAACAAGAGGAGAAATGCTAAGTATTCCCTGTACATTCATTTAATGAGACTGTACTTAGTTCTTACATGGTTCCTCCCTTCAAAGTACAGTCCACTGTGGTATTTCTTAGCCACTTGCAGTCTTCTCCAGTTGCTCAGACTTTCAGGCAAAACTCTACTTGCCCTTTGGGTCTCCTCTTTAATGGTTCTCCAGGAAGCCCTGCCTGGTCTCTGCGATCAAATTCCATGTGACTTCACAAGCTCCCGTTGAACTTTGCACTGCTTGCTGTCATATAGGTGATGCAGAATCACTTGTTTTGCTATCTCGTTTCTGTTGAATTGGAAAGCTCCAGGACAGCTCACAGCTGTAGTTGCAGTGCCCAGCATGGTGATAGCATGTATTATGTACTTACATATGTTTTTAAAATAATGGACGCAGAAAGGGAGGGCTAGAAGTCTCAGTGTCCAGGGGTGTGTTACTGTGCTGGAAGGTGATAGTTCAGATTGTCGTCAACAAGACTTGGGCACTGTGTCTTAAGCTCTCTTTGGGCAGACAGATTTGATTAAGCCCCAAATGATTCTTTTCTCCTAAAGTTAACGAGTATTATTTACATCTTAGGTGAAAGAGAAAAAAGAGACAAAGGAATTTTTCTGGTGAATAATTAACCAAATTATATTGTGTTCAGTACAGGTGTGGTTTCGGTTTATTAAGTGGGAGGGTCCCATGAAGGGAACAGGGCTTGAGTCAGGTTTTTTTATTTTTAAGATTTATTTATTTATGCACACAAGTACTGGGGTGTAAGCCAGAGGTGCATGAGGTTCGGGGGTGAGAGGATTCATCAGAGAGAGTGGGGAGCAGAACAGGCAGATCTACTGAAATACACTGCTGAGGGGAGCAGCGGGGAGACAGGAGAGGTCTGCTGTGCCATATGAGTCAGCTCCCTGGCCGGCTGGGGATAGAACTCATGCTGCAGTGGCTGGCTATAGCTTGATAGCGCTGTGTCTTTAACCCCTGCGCCACCTGGGAAGCCCCTTGAGTCAGCTTTTGAAATGACAGTAACAGTAAAGATGATAATTGCTGATGTAGGAAGCCATCATATCTTCTTGCAAAGGGGAACGGTGCGCACAGCAGTATTTGATGATAAATCTGGCCAGAGCATTCAGATTGGGGTAGAATTAGATAAACTAGATCAGGGGTCAGCATACATTGTCTGTAAGGACCAGATACTAAATATTTGAGACTTTGCAAACCCTAACAGTTCTGTCACAACGGCTCACCTCTGCCATTGTTGCATGAAAGCAGTGGGGATGGTATGTTGTGAATAAGGTCCCAGAAATGCTGGTGAGCTGAGTTTTACACTCCCCTCCCAGCCGGCCTCTGTTACCTTGTGGGCGATGCAGGTACCGCATTTCTCACTTCTGTGATTCTGCCGTGTCCACTGTGCTTTGTCCCTTCTTCTGTTCCTTGAAGCCAGGATCTTGAGCATTCTCCAGTTTTGTTGGTGAGGAAATCGGAGATTCCCTGTGATCAGTCCTCCATGAAAGAGACTCCAGGACATTTGCTTATTTTCTTGTCATGCATGTTTTTTTGTTGAGGTTTTTTTGTGTGTGTGTGTGTGTGTGTGTGTGTGTGTGTGTGTGCTTTTTCCTGTAGTTAATGTACCATTTGGAACTTTCACCCACTTCCAAACCAAAGCACTCAGGTCAGATTCTTTGCTGCAGGGGTTTCTGCTTTGTAACCAACTAGGAACTGAGAAAATCTGACAAGTTTCTAAGTGCATCCATCTTTAAGCATTCTTCTCAGAATCTTTCTGTATTACTGTTTTTAAGTCATAGAGTTCAGAGAAACTACCATGATGTGGCTCTCTCTGCCTCTCCAGACTTGAATGCCCTTATGAGTCCCGATGACTAGACTGTCTTGTGGTTACATTTGCAGATAAAGCTTTACTTAGAAATATTTTCACTTGTGTTGGAAATGTTTGGTAATATGATCTCATAGGAGATCATACTAATATTTCTTAATTAACTTGTATAATAAAATTTCGGTTTTAGGAAAACAGTTTTATCAAATAAAAGTTTCAAACAGAAAGGGTGTTAGTTAGTGTTTGTTTAATTTCTCATTATAGGGGTATTGAATGGACAAGTTTGACTGGGTTTCTTTCTTTTGCTACCTCAACACCAAACAACTTGGGATTAGTGAGAAATGAACTTCAGCTGGTTGATCTTCCAACAGGTTTGTATATTTAGACTTCAGCTATTCAAAGTGGTTTGTCATTGATCAAAGGTGTTGCTATTTATAAAACATTTTAACAGTAGACAATTTTTTTTTTTTTTTTTTTTTTTTGTGGGACCCTTACCAGTGGCCAGGGAATGAACCGGCACTGCGAGGCTGCAGGCAGCCTTGCAGCCCAGCGCTCAACCACTGCGCCACCAGGGGAGGCCCAGTAGACAGTTGTTTTAACATAGAGGCATTAAGATTTTAGAGATTGATATTTCTAAATGTCTAAAATGAAATTATTTGAAAGAAGCCAGAGAAGAAATTCAAGAAACTATTTTACAAAAGAGGTGTTTTTTTATGGTATTGGTCTTTAACGTGTAAGACTTTCGAGGATACCTTTTGTACCTACTTTATTAGTACAGCTTAGAAACAGATGGAAGAATGAACGGGAAAGTAGAGGAAGGCGCTGATTACATTGTATTGGTTTGGCTTCATGTTTCTCAGATTGTTTATGCGCTGCTTTCACTTTTTCTTTAATGTTTGCAATTAAAGGTAGAAGTATTGCCTTTCGTGGAGAACGAGGCAATGATGAATCGCCCATCGAAATGATCAAAGTATCTCACTTGAAGTAAGTGTCAGCCTGAAAAAAAAACCGTGGTGTTTCCACAGTGAATCTCAAAGTTCTTTTTTTTAACAACGTGAAAATATGTTAGAATGTATATAGAATTAATTAGTGATAGCAAGTAGTGATATGCAGCCCTGTTAAAGAATACAATCTGATCACACAATTAATTCTTCATTTCGGAAAAGTGAGGTGATTTGCATGTGAATCCAGGCTGTGGTTCTGCTAGGCTTAATGGGCTGCTTAAGCCACCATGCTGGCTGTGCAGTTTGGCCTTTTCAGTACAAAGTCCATTTGGCCCAGTCAATCAGTTACCTGAACTTCAAGAATGCAAAGTGCTGACCTTGCAAGGTTCTTGTCAAGTTAAAGAAGAGCAGGAGGCTTGACCCCTGGAGCAGTGAGTATACCTAGCGCTGTAGACCCACATGGAACTTTGCGTCCCAGAGACCGATCAGTGGAACGCCTTGCTGATAAGATCAGAACCACCAGTGGGGGTCAGAAGCTTGATTTCCATCTTTAAACAAGGGCCATAAAATTAATCTGAATCCTTTTTGGGGCTCATCTCCCCAAAAAGCCTAGATAACTTAAGCATACACTTGCTTCCTTCTAACTTTTTTCTCTTTGTTCTCTTGTTCTGAGTAATTGACTCTATGAAATTATTCAGTCAATAAAAATGCCAGGTTTTGCCTTCTCGGCGCATCCTGCCACAACAGCTTGTTCCACGACTCCTGTTTCTTTGACAGTGTGGTGTTGCCTGACGCAACACAAGGAGTTTTATCAGATGGGTAATCTGGTAACCCCGCTCGGTTCCGCTTTAAGTGGAACTGATGCGAATGCCCTTTGTCCACTAAGGAATTGTTATTTGTCATCTGATGAAATTCTTAAGCACTTCCACCTCAGCATGGACTTACTGGGTAAAAGTACTCACTTTCTTTATTATTTAAACCCAGTAAGTTTTTTTAGTTTTTTGTTCCAAGTGAAAATACATGTAAAGCAGAATTATTAAAAATAGAAAACAATGATAACCAAAAGAACAAAGAAAGGAGTATGTTTTCTAAAATAGTTTCAAAATTGCTTCAGCTTTTCTAGGATATTTGTGATTGTTTTAGAACCATCTTGTCCATTTTACCAAAAAGGCTATCTGGGATTTTGATTGGATACCTGAAATCCATACATCAGTGTGGGGAAGAGCGACATTTTAGCAGGTTTTGTGATTCATGAACATGGTGTATCTTTTCACTTACTTAGCTCTTCTTTAATTTCATTCAGTAATATTTTATAGTTTTTAATATAGTTTTTACACATCATTTGTTATTTTTTCCCTTTGATGCTATTGTAAACGGTTTGTTTTTCATTTCAATTTCTTATTTATTGTCTATTGGAATAGTTATTTTGCAATTGTCTGTTTAAAATGTGTCATCTGAATTTTCAGATTACTGAGCTTTTTATTTATACTTTATGATGAAAATCTTGCAAAAAGGGGCTTATATAGTAATTTTGTTTATTTTAGGCAGTATTTGGCAGTTGTATTCAAAGATAAGCCCCTGGAGTTATGGGATATTAGGACTTGTACCATCCTTAGAGAAATGTCAAAAAACTTCCCTGCAGTAACTGCTTTGGTAAGTCACATTTAAGATTGGCCATTTTTCTTTAATTTGAATTGAAATCATTACTGCCATGTGTTTTCTTGTTAAAAAATGAATATTCAGAGAAGATGATCTAAATAAATGAAGATAACTGTTTTCTTGGCTGGTTTAATATTGCATTAGCACAATTCCTGTTACAATTTCAGTTAGGCGTTTTGAGGGACATGATAAACATATTCAGAAAACATTTATGAAGGAATAAAGATCATAATAGATCACTAAAGATCACTCCTTAAAAACAGGATTGTGATGTGGGTGGGGGTCCATCCTACTTGATACAGCGCATATTAGAGAACATGGAAATGAAAGCAATGTTGTATTGGTCCAAGAACAGAAAGTAAACCAACACAGCAAAGAGCTCATTAACAAGCCTGTGAATATTTGGAAACTCGATAGCACATAAATCCATGTGGTTAGTAGGCAATTTTGGGAAAGCTCACATTATGGAGAAAAATACTAATCTCAGCCTAATGCCATAATTAGAGGTGAGTGGCACAGGATTAAAGACCTAACTGTGAAAAAAGACAGTTATAAAATTTAATATAATCAAATATAGAAGATTTTTGTGTTCTGAGGACAGCAGAAGACATCAGATGCTCAAACCGAAAGGCAGACAAATCATTGATTACACCAAGACTGATGCTTACTGTTCAATGAAGGACCCCAATGGCAAAGTCAAGTACAGAAGGCAAGTTCAAAAAATAAATTTTCCAGTGTCTAGAGCCAACAAGGGACTAACTAATCCAGATTGGTATTCTAGAAACTCCTACAAATAAATAAGCAATGAAAAGACAGGAACCCCAATGGAAAGCATAAAGTATATGAGCAGTTGATGAAAGCCAATGAGGATAGGAAGAGATACTCAGTTCATTAGTTTTTAATGAAATAACCATGATACACCTTTTAGACTAACACAATTGGAAAGCCAGATAACATCAGATATGAGTAGAATACAGGCTGTAGAAATCCTGTCTACTGCTGGTGAAGTTGTAGGCTGGGACGGCTGTCTGCAGAGCCCAGAGGTCTTCTGTGTTCCATCTGTTTGTTCAGCTCCTGGTCGTGAAGGAACTTCTGTGAGGGTATCGACTGCAGCACTGTCTGTCATGATGAGAGTTTGGAGGTAGTCTGGGTGTCCTTTGCTGAGCAAACAGACTAGTGGAAATTTGGTGGCTGTGTTGTGAACAAGTTACACAGCATGTAGAAATAGCAGCAACGGGACTTATATACATGATACTGAGGGAAAAGAGTTAGAAACGGGATGATATGATATTTATGTAAATTACAAATACGTGCCTTCAAGACAACTTCATGTTAGGAATTTGTACATATGAGCGGATTAGATTAAATGCATTAGAATAGGTGGGAATGTAAAGAATAAAAAAATAAGGTTTGGGGTTGACCTTTGGATATTAATGGACCATGACTGGAAGGGCATGATCACCTCACTCTGTTTACCTGAGTGGGTAGAGGGTAGGCAATACCATCATTGAATTTATTATTTTCATTTTGTCAAAAAAAAGCATCAGAAGGTTAGCCCTTTTGGAAGTTTGCCATTAAGCTCTGTTACCTTAACTTCTAATTAAAGATTAGAGGAGATAGAGGTAGGTTACTAAAATCTTCCACCTTAAGCACTAATTAAAATGCATTCATTTGGTCTTTCCATAAATAGATAAAATGGGAGAACAGTTTGTGAATCCACGTGTAGTAATTTGTGATGTGGCAGTGGGGAATATACCTTCTGTTGTGGAAGGATTCTTTGACAGAAAGAAACCAGGCGCTGGTAGGTTTGTCTGTATTTGCTTCACAGGAGTGGTCACCATCTCACAACCTGAAGAGCCTGAGGAAGAAGCAGCTGGCCACCCGAGAAGCCATGGCACGCCAGACCGTGGTCTCAGATACCGAACTGAGTGTTGTGGAGTCCTCTGTGATCAGGTGCTCCTTACTGCTGCTGTCATTTGTGACTCTGTGTCGTGGTTGGGAACTCACTAGTGTCATCCAAAGGCATCTTCAGTCTCCAGTGCACTCTCCTTTTAGAGCTTAGTTTACCAAACAGAGCACATACCATGATTACCTAAGCGTGCATTTGATCCCTGCTGCTTCTCGCAGTCAGGCCTGTGGAGGTGGTAGCCGCGCGTCAGCATTGGGCTCCCCTCACTGTCCTGTTTGCTGCATTTCAGCTTCAGAAATTCAAGTGAGCAAAGCTTGAACAGCTGGATTATACTGTTACGCATACCAAAGAAAATGTATGGGAGTTCTAAATTTATGTACCTCTGTACACCCATCCCCACCAATTTTACAAATAAGAACTTCAGAGAGAATGGCGGGTCAGTATAAGGCCTCTCTTCTGCCAAGGAGTGTTCTCAGTAAAGCAGTTAAGAGGTGTTTGTATTTGTCTGTGGAGTCTGGGTCTCTGCGTAAATGTTACCTCGTAGTAGGAGGTTTTGGAGAGTAATTTGTGTTTTCCTATTAGTGGACAAAGACTAGTTTCAGCTTTTTTATCTTTTCACTGGTTCTGGACCTACTGCTAATGCATCTATCATGAGGCAAGTTAATCAAGTATGGGTGTCACTCACGGGGAAGGAATAACTTTGTTATTTTATTTTTTCCTATCCCAAAGCTTGTTGCAGGAGGCAGAAAGTAAATCTGAGCTCAGTCAGAACATCTCTGCACGGGAGCATTTTGTGTTCACTGATAACGACGGCCAAGTTTATCATCTCACTGTCGAAGGAAACTCCGTGAAAGACAGTGCTCGGATTCCCCCCGATGTGAGTCCAGCCCTTGGCCAATCTTCGCTAAGCGTGAAGTGTGGTTAAGTAGAACTCTATTGCAGAAAAGTTTAATGTAAATACTACTACTTACAGAAATATTACCATTGATTAGACTTGTTTCTCACTGTTGGAGAATATAGCATTATGACCTTTTTCGTTAAATGTGCACTGTGTGCTACTTATTTTTATCCCCAGGACAATCCATGAGGAATTATTTCTGTTTCACTTATGACAAAGCTTAGGGAGAGTCAGTAACTATCCCGGGGTGGCAGCGCCCCCATGGCAGAGCAGTGTCACAAACTCAGGTCTGCCTGTCTGACTAGTATCTCTCCTCTTCTATTTTAGGCACGACCTTAAAGGATTTCACTTACAACCTTGCGTTATTTTTGGATAGTAGTAAGCAGGTTGTACGTGTGATGATAGTGTTACTGGTAATTACTAACATCTATCTTCCTCCTGCCTGAGGGTTTGTAGCTAATCATTTGTATTCAGTGTGTATCTTACAGGTTGTATTTAATAATGGATTAATAAAATGTTTTTGTTAACTAATACTTAAAATGGTTTAGTGGTGGCATGAGATGATGATACATGTTTAAATTATCATCTGCAACTGGGATATTTTCATCAAATATCAGCCCCATACAAGTGGCTCAGGGTCTCTCATGACCTACAGTCAGGGTGCTGGCTGCGCCAGAAGGTCCAGGCTCTACCACAAGACTGCAAATTAGTGCTGGCTCTGTGGAGAGGCCTCATTTCTTACATATGCTTCTCCATGAGGCTGGCTGAGTGTCTTCATGACACAGCAGCTGACTTCCCCCGAGAGCAGGTGATCCCAGAGAGAGCACGTAGGAGGCTGAGCAAGGGGCATGAATACCAAAAGGCAGGATCGGTGTGGACCTCTTAGAGTCTTGCTCCCACATCTCCCATATTAGCAGCTCTAGGAGAACTGAGGGCATCCAGACCTCCTTCACTCCTGCAAACAGAAACTTAACATGCCACATGCTTTTCAGACTATAATTTCATCTTTATTACTATTATGTGCGGAACAAATCACATCTGAGATGCTGATATTTATTCTGGACTGTCTCTAATATTGCTCCAAATTTTCAGTAGTTTGAAAGGATGAAAATAATAATGCAAATGTGGAAATTTGATATTTGGAATTTGTAATAGGAAAAGTCACCTAACTTAAGTGTGTGGAAAGAAGCTGTTGTTGAAGAGTGCAGACATAGGGCTTCAGGGCGTCTAGGTGTTTTGTGGAAGATCACAGTTTGTTTTCCTAGTAATACACGCAGCTCCTCACTGAGGGCCCCAGAGAAGACCCTACCTCAGTTCTCTAGTGCTTCTGGCCAACAACTCAGGCTGTTTTCTCATCACGTCACATTTGAGATTAGAATGTAGATAGAATCCAGTATGTTTGAGATGCCAGTATCATCCCCACCCCCAACAAATAACGTACAGTTTTGGAGCATTAAACACATGAGTTTTTCTGCTTTATCAGTGCTTCTTTTAGGTGATAATTGTGCCACGCAGCTTTTAAGGTCCCATCTTTTTTCGTGATGGCCTGTATTGGGGGTAGGGGGTGTTTTGCCTGTCAGATCCTGTCTTCCACAGCCAGATGCAGCTTTCCCTAAAAAGGCGAACCAGCTTGATACGGATCCAGCCCCCAGTGGAATTAGTACACATTTTAGAATGGATTATTTTTAGGGAAGGAAATGTGCTGCACCTCCCCCTGCAGTGACCTTTAGGGCTAATGGCTTTCGCCACGGTCCCTAGGTCCGACTGGGCAAGGAACCAGCATGCAGGGGGAGAACAGCAAAACTCCGAAATGTGCCCCAAATCACACTATATATATATAATACACAAGGGATAGGCTTTTGGTTTGTTTTTTCCATTCTATAATTGAAAGATTTCCAGTGATGATAATGTAGACTTTAGGCAAAGGTTTCTTTTAATCCAATATTTACCTTACCCTCTTCCTGAATGTAAAGTATTGAATGCCATTTTGAATTGAAACTTTCCCTGGATTTTGGTCCCCAAACTATAGAGTATATAAAAATGGTAAGCAGAAGAAGAAAGCTTGGCATAGTGAGGCTACGTCTGCGAGGACAGTTGCTGCACTGCTTTTGTGAGAACACTACGAGTGCGAGAGTGGATGAGTAGCTACGCTGCCCCCGACTGGCTGCTCACTCTTGTCTTTTGCATGTAGGCACAGAATCAGTGCCCGGCAGTAATAATTTGAGCTTTAATCTTACGTGGGCTCTCTTGGTGTTAATCGGGGCCAAGTCCCCTGAAAGCACCTTGCACTCTTCGTGTGCCTTGCATCCCATCAACAAGCCTGGCTTATTCGTGCATTGCATTAATCCATCACTTGAATTCTAAGCTGGCACTGCTGGACTCATTTAAATGTCAATATCCTAATTTTTAGACCCTAGAAAGCAAGTTTTCAAGATTAAAAAGTAAATGTCAAGGAAAATTCTCAATTAAACCTCCTGTTACTGTGCTTAGGAGGCAGAAATGAGATCTGCATCATATCCAGCATTCTATTTACTTAACTGAATTCACTTAAACATTGGTTTTCAGTCCAGTTTTTCTTTGTTTTTTGGCTGCCATTAGGATTTCTGCATTATTTGGGGTGTGGCCAGCTTATTAACAGTTCGGGAGATACTTGGAACTTCCCTACTCCTCAGTGGATACCTTGAGAGCTAAACATGAGGATTTTTATATTGTTCTACAAAAATAAGAACAAGATTTCTCTTAATAAGTAGAGATGATGTTGATCAATAATGTTATTTAGCAGTTAACGTGTATTGGCTCTTTATTACGTGGCAGGCATTGTTTTCAGGCCTTCGCCTTATACATGTATTATGACTACAAGGAATGCCTCGGGTTTATGAACTTGCCCCATTTTATTGATGTACGTTTTTCTAAGACACAGAAAGGTGAAGTAAATGTGCCCCAATTCACACAACAAATTCTGTGATGAAGCTGGATTGTGCCCAGGCAGCGGATGGCAGAGCCTCAGCTTGCTCTCTCTCTGCATCTCTACAGCTGCAAGCTCTCTTCCTTCCACTAGTGGGTTCTTACTATATTGGTATTTCTGTGTGTAACTTTGCAAAGCTTTCTGTGAATTCATACACATTGAGATGCCTTTGGATGGAAACAGTATCTCTTCCCCTTCATTATTTCAGAAGGTATCTGAAACTCTGGAGCCTCTTTTTCAGTAGAAAGATGACTACACAATTGTGAAACAGCTTTGAGTTTCTCTTGGAATAGATCTATTTGTCCTTTTGCCGTGAGAAAGAAGATGGAGATGAGCTGGAAAGGGTTTCCTTTCCTTCTCTTTTTATCTTTTATCTTGTTTCATCTGAGGTATTCCTTCTGCAAGACAGCCTTCACTATAAATCTAATTCAGATAACTTAGTGTTCACCAAATTGAAATCTTTTTCATTTCATAGTTGAAGCTGATACGCCTGGTAACACTTTTAGTGTCCAGTTAGTGTTTAGGGGAATTTATACTGAAGCAAAACCATTTATATTTATTTACCATTTATTAAAGTGTCATTTCATCACCATTATCAAGTACAAATATGTTTCTGTTATAATGTTACAGTGAAATTTCTGATGGTTGTTGCCATTGTTTTCTAGGGAAGCATGGGTAGTATTACCTGCATCGCTTGGAAAGGTGATACACTAGTTCTTGGAGATATGGATGGAAATTTAAATTTTTGGGATTTGAAAGGCAGAGTGTCCAGGTATGAACAAGAATACAGCCTTGTTAGTAGATTAAAAAAAAAAAACAAAAACAACAACTAATCTCTTGATGTGGTTTCCCTAGGGGTTTGTAACTTGGCCTGCAGATTCAGTAAGCATAGCCAATTATAGCTTGCACCCCTGGGTCTCTTGCCTTTGAATTTGGGAGAAAGGACCAGAGCTAGGCTCTGGGTCATCCATAATCCTTCTCTGCAGTTGGTCCATGCAGAGAAGTGCTAAGACATTATTCCAGCTGTTGTCAACGGGCAGGCCCTTCTGTTAGATGTAGCCCCTATCCTAGAAAGTAAGGCAGTTATGCCATCATGAGACCTTGTCAAAAGAAGAACAAGAAAGGGAGTTTTCTGGTGAAAAGATGGTGCTGTGCACCATATTGGTGTTTTGGTTTTTGTTTGCTCTGTATGTCCTCAGAGGGATACCTACTCATCGAAGTTGGGTGAGGAAGATTCGTTTTGCCCCTGGTAAAGGAAACCAGAAGTTAATAGCAATGTACAATGATGGTGCTGAAGTGTGGGACTCTAAAGAGGTAGGTAGGCCCAGCTCCATGAGCATCAGCTGCATGTGGGGCTTCTGGTCAGAGAAACTTTTTCTCCCCCTGATTTCGGAGTGAAAACTACATAATGGGTTTATCATACTTCCTAAAGCAAGTTTCTTCGTTTGAATCTTTTAGTTTCACAGTATTTCTGTCTGAAAGGTGTGATAACTCTATGGGGTTGTTTTCCTTATGTTATTTGAGAAATAGTCTGCCTTTAAAAGGCAGTCTGTGTGTGGGAGATAAATGGCCAGACTGTTCAGTTTTAAAGTTGCACTGGTCCTTTGCCACATCACTGCCCATTTAATCCAGAATGATAAACATCTTCCTTTTCTTTCTGAAAGTGACAACCAAATTCACTCTTGAAGGTTCAGATGGTGAGCAGTTTAAGAAGTGGAAGAAACGTGACCTTTCGTATACTGGATGTGGACTGGTGTACGTCAGATAAGGTGATCTTGGCCTCAGATGATGGGTGTGTCAGAGTCCTCGATATGTCTATGAAGTCTACATGTTTCAGGATGGATGAGCAGGAGCTGACCGGTAGGAATTCTAATGAAAGGGTACTTTGAACCTGTCTTTATTTTGCACCAGCTTCTCTCATCTAGGGAAAGAGCACTTCTATTTCATTTCAGTCTTGCTCTCTGAGCATCTGAGTTTAAGAAAATACATTAGCTTAAAGCTTGAATGTTGTTACCACTGAGATGCTAGACTCCCTGTGACTGCAGCTGTCAATCATTTCCCCAACTCCAATTTACCAAGTCCCCCTTCTCTGACCCTTTCCTGAGTGCTTCGTCAAAAGGCCAAGGATATTTCCATTCATGACAAAGCCATTGAGCAGAGGGGTGATCCCTAGTGACGGTCTAAGCAGCTACGTTAATTCAATAACCTCAGGACAGCGAAGGCGTCCGGTGGCAGGACACAGGTGACAGGATTCTTAGTGTTTTTAAATAATGAGCTTAAGACAGTGAATCATTGTACTGAATGTTTTATTTAAGTAGTGTTTTTATAGCACACAGGAGACTTACATTTTTAGAAGGGAAAGAAAAATATATTTAATTTGACCAAAAATGAAACAACATTCCAGAGTAGAATCATACTCATTTGCATTGGCTAAAAAGAAATTTGGTTCATTCATTCCTTAACTCAGTACATATTTACTAAAGTTCCTACTATGTGACTGTCGTGAGTCACATGACATATCCTTAGCTGATGAAAAAAAAGATTTGAACATAGAGAATCTCCTCACTCTTAGCCTGTATGTCAAGATGATCAATTACGCCCAAACGTCTGCATTGTCCTCTGCTGACTTCTTTGTAAACTCTATGTTGAAGTTCCAAGGTACTATAAAATTATATGTCATTAAAATAAAAATAATAAAATATTTCATTAAAACAATTTTTGTCTAGAGCCCGTGTGGTGCCCCTATCTTCTTGTCCCAAGGGCCTCCCTTGCCTTGAAAGCTTTCTTACTGCACCAGCCTTGGGATGGCCGGTACTCCTTGGACATCTCTAATGTGTAAGTTTTTTCCGTTTTTGTTTTTCTTTCTTGATTTTCTTGGGCTTGTCTTCCTGGCCCTAACAGAACTGGAACTTAAAAGCAAACTGGGACAGACAGCAGGCAGGATCTAACAGAATGCCTGTGCGCCGCCGGCCCCCCCCCCCCCCCCCCCCCCCGTGGCCGTTGTGGAAGTTCGAGTCTGCAGGGGGCTGGGAGCTGCGGGCATCTGACTCCTGGGGGGCTGTGCTGTCATTTCACAGTCAACATGGGGCGTGGCAGAGTGAGTGTGAAGAGGGCCAGTTAAGGCAGGAGGATTTGGGGTCCAGGCTCAATTCCTTTTACAAGCAGCATGAATGGGTCTGCTTCAGAGGATTTTAGGTTTTGTAAACTCAACGTCTGCCTCACTGCAAAAAAAAAAAATAGTCACAGACACTGATTTGTGGTTATTAAGCTCACAGATGTTATTGAAACTACACCATTAGAGCTCATGTGGTAAGGGTGGAGGCGAGTAACAGTGAGGTGACTGTTGTGCAAGAACGATCTCCTTAGAGAAGGAGACAGCTGTGCACAGGGCAGAACTAGTGGAGTCCTTTCTCATCCTAACTGCTCTTATGGAGATAAAATCAAGCCTCAAAGGGCAGCTTCTTGAGTAGAATGTTGCTGTTTGGCCTATAACCTGGTTTTTGACCAAGGAATACAAAAGTTATTTCTATCTTAACACAGCTTTTTTTCTGGTGTAGAAAGAAGTACTTGTAAGTGAAAAGATGATAAACTCAGTTGAAATCTTTTCTGTACAGTGATTATCCAGAAAATGAAGAAATAAAGAATCTCCTTCAAGAGCAGTTGAATTCACTGTCCAAGTAAGCACTTCAACTACGTTTTATTGGAAGATAAAAATATAAGAGAAAGAAAAATAGAATAACTTAGGCTTTTTAAAATTAAGGTAAGTTGTGTTTTAGAAACTTTGTGGCTCAAGGAGAGACCATTCTTGTTCACCAAGGTTTGTTTTTCCTTTAGCATCTTTGTTTTATAGAGCAAGCAGCTGTTTAGAAATTACAGGGCAGGGACAGAGCCTCTATCTTCAGCAGCTTTCGGAGTGTTGGGTTGCTCTGGTCTCCTGTTGGGCCAGAGTGGAGGCTGTGGTGCGAAGTCCTTATAGCTCAGCCTGCCTCCCCTCCAGAACCTCTGTGAAGCCTCACCTTGAGGATTCCTCCATGTCAGCTTCCCGCTTCTAAAAATGTTCTCCGTGTCAGAGGTTGTGTGTGCACAACTTTGGCTAAGAAATGAGCATACGCCCTAGAGCCTAAAGCATTTAAAAGTGTATTCTGGGAATAATATTGTAAAGGAAGTAAAAAATATATATATATAGGTTCATAAGGAGTTCTTGGTAAGGTATAACACCTTTTTTTTTTTGCAATCTAGTCTGTCACTTCTAACTATAATTAATAAATGAACCATAATAGGAGGTTTTATTGATGTCAAGATCCAAATAATTGCTTTATTGTTTTCTCAATCCACAGGTTAACATTTCTGTTTAAATGCAAACGTATAGATTTAAACACTATCTTCCCTTTCCTTTCATGTTTTAGATACAGCAATTTATTGAAAAAAAAGGTCTTCCTTAAATTTTTTTTTGGAGATCGTTTCAAAAATAAATTAATGCATCTCTCTTCCACATACACTGATGCTGACAATTAGCAAAACATTTTATCAGCAGTGATGTGCTTGTTCCAGTAGTTAGGCAGATGTTCAGGGTTTTAAAAATGTGAGTTGAACTATCACAAGAATGTACCCCAGCATCAGAGTCTTACATGGGCATGACTGCCCAGCAGCTCTGCCCAACTGTTGTGAGTTCAGGGTCATGACAAAGTAACTTTTGAGTGGAATTTTCCATTTCAAGAATGCATTGATTTATCCCCGTTTTATTATTTGATTAAAAAAAATTGTCTTGCCTTTTTCTGAATTCCTGTCTGCAGTGATATAAAGAAACTCTTGCTCGATCCAGAATTCACTCTTTTGCAGAGGTGCCTGCTTGTTTCAAGGTAAGGCTGTTAGAAATTTTCTGTACAAGAGACAGGAGTTTAGGTTAACTCATTTCTATTACAAGGGTGTTTCATTAAGACCAAATGCTTTTAAATTTAAGAAAAAATGTATCAGTTCATCCTTTAGATTTGACTTAGTTTTGAAAGTAGTAATATAATTTAAAAAAATGTATTTTAGACCGAGATCTATGCCTTCTCTGTAGACATCTCCGTATAGTTTTTAAAATATGAGCTATGAGTGTATGTCCTTGAATGTTACAGAGTTATATTTACAAGCAGTAACCTGTACTGTTCCACTATATAGTAGTCACTTATAAAAAAAAATTCCTTCTATTCCCCAGTGAACAAATTACAGATTTTTCCCTTATCTTGTCAGTTATCTCCAAGAATCTTCTTCCTTAGTGTGAAGCAGTGAAAGGCATGCTTAGAGTGACCTTGTTAGAACTGAGGTGCTGCTCATACCGCAGGGGAGGGAGAGGTGGCGTCCCGCGGCCGTCCGCAGTCAGGCCTGTGTGTACTTGAGATGGGGCTGGAGAACTCACTGCTTCTCCTCTTTTACTCATATGGTGAAAGTGTCCCAAATGGGTCTTCTGCGTGCAGCCCGGGGCTCCCAGCACGTGACCCCCCCCCCCCCGCCATGGGCAGCCACTCAGGCCGCCAGTCTGCCGTGTCCGGTCAGCGGACGCTGCGGTTTCCTCCTCAGGCTTTACGGCGACGAGTCCGAGCTCCACTTCTGGACGGTGGCGGCCCACTACCTGCACAGCCTGGGCCCAGGGCGGCCAGCCGGCACACCCGCCGCCGCGGGACCCGCTCCTCAGGAAGGCGCGGGCGACCCCCTCGACATGTGCTATGACTTACTCTGCGAGAACGCCTACTTCCAGGTATGGAATCCTCAAAGCTGTCATCTTGGTTACTTACGTCTCTGCAGGGTCTCAAATTCGGGAAACTTTCTAAGTTAAGGTTCACATCATAGAAATGAGTCTCTGTACGTTTACAGATAAAGACCTTACTGAGGACCTGAAAATCTTACAAACACTGAATTTTTTTAATACACCTCCAACTTTTATTATTAAATCCTTTAATTTTTTGTCTTAAAACTATTGACAAGATTATTTTAATTCTCTCGCATTATTACTTTAACAAACATTTCTTTCACTGGCTTTGAAGTTGCTATTCTGCAGATAAGAAGGAGGCTTCATGATTCTGTAGCCTATAGTTCTTCCACAAGGTGGCTTGCTTTTATACAGCTTTGTTCAAGGGCCAGTTTCTGTGAGTGGGTGGACTTGCTTACAAGCGGTAACACATGTCGACATTTTCTCTTTCAGTTCCTGTTCCATTGTTGGATTTCAATAAAGTTGATTATCATGTAATAACCTCAGAAGTCAAAGTAATGTTGACTGAAATTATTAGGTAGAGAAAAATTGAAATAGTTCATCAGTCTTATAATTTATGAGTATCAGGATTCCTTTTTGTTTTCTTTATAGAAATTTCAGTTGGAAAGGGTTAATTTACAGGAAGTAAAAAGGTCAACCTATGATCATACAAGGAAATGCACAGACCAGCTGCTTCTCTTGGGTCAAGTAAGTCAATTTCTGCAACTTTCCATGTTTCATGCAGGCTCACACACACCATAGTGTGTGTGACACACTTTATAGTGCCTCCCTGAAAGTATAATTAATGTAAATGTAAGTTTAGGCTTTGTCACAAAGTAGGAACAACAGAAGCAAAAAATATCTGATTAACAAACTGATTTTGATTCCATGTCAAGTGAGATCTAATTATTTAGTTTTATTTTTGTGTTTCTGAAATGATTGTTGTACAGCTAGAACAAGCAGTTCCTTGACCACTTCTACAAACCAACTGTGCAGTGCTCTAAGGGTGCGATTCTTGTATCTGCAAACCAAGTGTTCACGATTAAAAGAGCTTATGTTGGGGGAAATGGTTTCATACTAGAAGTGTTCTTCCTCTTATTAGACAGACAGAGCTGTGCAGCTGCTGTTGGAAACAAGTGCAGAGAACCAGCATTATTACTGCGATTCACTAAAAGCCTGTTTGGTCACGACAGTCACCTCGTCAGGCCCCTCCCAGAGCACCATTAAGCTGGTAGCAACAAACATGATCGCCAATGGCAAGCTGGCAGGTAAGACATGCTTCATGGCCGCACCTGTCAGTGTTCTGGAAAATCAGACCTGACCCCAGCAAAGTATTTCATTATTGGACTCCACCTTTCTCTTTTATATAAAGTAGATTATAGAAAAGTAGATTGTTACTAGCTATTTATAAGATGACCATTTAACTCAGTCCTCTAAGCCAGAATTCTGAGTGACAGACGCGATTAACAATTGCCTAAGAGGCATACGGTGGGCAAACTGAAATGAAGTGATGCAAACCAGTGAGTGAGAATGCTTTACTGTTCGTTTTCTGGACTCTCTTTGTGCTTCCTACCCTGGTCACTGAGTGGTAGCTTTGTAAAACTCCATTTTAATCCTTTAAAATTTCAATAATGCCTTCAATAGGTGTAGGATGCACAGGACTAAGTGAAATCAAATGGTGATTTTACGTTATAGCAACTTGACAGAGCAAGCTGCTGTGTCACTTTAGGGGGCTGCTGTTTTGTCTTCCAGAGGGCGTTCAGTTGCTCTGCCTGATAGACAAAGCCGCGGACGCCTGCCGCTACCTGCAGACGTACGGCGAGTGGAACCGGGCAGCGTGGCTTGCCAAAGTAGGTGATTCAGTCCTGAAGTTCTGACACATGGTTTAGATGCTTTTGTATTGGCTGCAAAGCTGCTTTGCAGATAATTTATTGCAGCTTTCACATACCTACTCTTTTAAAAGTATATTTCTTCTTACTGAAAAATGGCGGTTGAATCAGTAACAATTAAGTGAAAGCAGCTGCCTCTGCTCCCTGCTCAGGTGTGAGCCCAGGTCTACAGCCCAGGGTGTTGCCAGGCCCCATGGCCCATCGATGGGGCCTTAGACTGCGAGATGTAGTAAGGTAAGCAGCAGGGCAGGGTGCTAAGTGCTAGGTGCTCACCTAGTATTTGTTTTGTAAGAACAGGTCCCAGTTTTGTTGAATGATGTTTTTCTTTTATATGGAACAGGGTGTCTTTGTTTACTTAACACGGGCATCCTTCTCAGGTCCGCTTAAATTCCGAGGAGTGCGCTGATGTTCTGAAGCGGTGGGTTGACCACCTTTGCTCTCCACAAGTCAACCAGAAGTCAAAGGCCCTCCTGGTGCTCCTCTCCCTGGGCTGCTTTTCCAGCGTGGCTGAGACGCTTCACAGGTACGCTGGGGCCGGTGAGGCTCGCTGCCAAGGTCCATCACTCCGTGTTTTCTGAGGCTCTGCGGGTCGATGGTGGTCCTTCAAGCCTGCAGGAAAAGGAAAAGCATGTGAGATGAGGGTTTATTTGAAAAAGCCAAAGGGAGTGGAAGGTTCATGTCCTACCAACATTCTAGTCAGATCTGATGGGTATCTGTTTAAAAACATTAGGAAAGAAGTCTTCAGAGTATGGGGACAGTTCAGCTCTGGGTAGAGCAGCTGAGACTGACAAAGGCCAGGGAGTGGGCAGAGGGGACGGAGAGTGTGGAGAAGTGGAGCTGCCCCCTCTGGGCCTCTTGAGGCCTCACAGCGTCACTCATTATGGAACTTTTTATTTATTTAAACGTGAGGGGCAGGTTGAAGCGAGCATGACTAAGGTCCCTTGTCAGACCGGGCGGTGGGCACACGGATACTTGCTCGCTTCTGTAGATTTCTGTGTAGTTCATCTAAAGTGATAATAACAAAGAGCTTGGGGTAGAGGACCTGGGTGCTCTCCCCTCCTTTCCTCTAGAAACCAGGGCTTAGAAGGGTGCTGCGTGGCTTTGGTGTGGCTCAGTTTTCCAGGGAGACGTGTGCTTCACAGAGACGCACGCTCTGGAGGCGCCTTCCCTGGCTGCCTCGTCACAGTGGCCTGACTCACTGTGTTCTGTCGAGCAGCATGAGATACTTTGATCGAGCCGCCTTGTTCGTGGAAGCCTGTCTCAAGTACGGCGCGATCGAAGTCAGTGAGGACACGGATATCCTTTGCTGGGACAATTACACTGAGGGGGAAGCAGGTGACATGAGTGGGTGATTTAGGACTCCTTTTCGTTGTGCCTGAGCAGGAACTCCATTCTATGCAGGACGTTCCACGTTCTGAGTCACCAAAGCCAGAAAGAGGGAGGAAGAGACGGGCACAGATTGGGAGGAAGGCCGTGGCGCCAGCTCCCTGAGAGGGCTAGGCTGGCGGGGGCGGGCGCGGGTATTTATAAGGTTTTGGGTGGTCTTGCAAGAGAATATAAGGGCAATAACTTAGGAGAGGTGTGGAAGCCTGCTGTTTCAACGTAGTATTCAAAACTGCGTTCTATGGAGTAAGATTCATACATATTTATTAATAAAATATATGCTATAATAAGTAAAAAAGGAAGACTCACTGTTACCCACCATGACAGTCGAATGTAGAATAAGACACAGGACTTCAAATGGACAATGTGTCCTGTGTTGTACACCTGGACCAGAGAATTGTGTTCCTTCTAGAATCACCTGATAGTGTTTTCTTGGAGAAGAATGGCCTTGAGAATAAGCTCTCAGCTCCTTGTGTTAGCAGAACTCTCCTTGTTTTCACAATTTTTCTTGAATTATTTAATTCAGATATTCAGTTTTCTGTAAAAGATATTCAAAATCCTTTATCTACTCATCAGTAAAGTTGACTCCGGTTCCGAGGAGCCATTTTGATTATCAGCAACAGCAGGACAGAGCTCTCCCAGAGCCCAGACCTGGCCTTCTGCTTAGGGACAGACTTGTGAGTGGAACCCCTCACTGCAGCCGACTGCCCGAAAGCGCCCCTGCCTCGACTGCTGGTGGTGAGCTTGGAGTGCGCAGGGCCAGCCTCTCAGCCACACATGTCTCTCCTGTCCTCTGCCCAGTCTGTGGTCATGCTTGTGAATGTGGAGAATCGGGGAGGTTAGGTCCAAATCCTCATTCCAGCAGCACAGGAAGATCCCCCACTGCTCAGATGAAGCTTTGGGCCCAGCTGCTGGGAAGTGTAGGGGGGCTGCAGACTGAGACCTTCTTGCCTGGGGGTGTCTTCACCACCCCTTTGCCCTTCTTTTCCTTGACTGGGATTTACAGAAACTCATCGCGGCTATATATGCAGATTATGCCCGGAGCTTGCGGAATCTCGGGTTTAAACAGGGCGCTGTTATTTTTGCTTCAAAAGCTGGAGCAGCCGGCAGAGACTTACTGAATGAACTGGAATCCCCCAAGCCCGAAGAGGCGTGACGGTCACGGAAGCCAGGGACTCACCTCGCCAGCAGGGTGGCCCGGAGTTGGTCCAGGCGCCATCAGGTCAGGGGCGCAGTCCTGACTGAGGAGGGTGCTGCGCTCGCAGGGCCTCGGGAGCGGCTTCCCCGCAGGGCATGAGCACCTACGATGCTCGGAATGAGCTCTGGGTCCCGTGTTTAGCTCAGAAAAACGTGACCACTTCAGAGTTTGAAAATGTCTAACTCCCCTCTCCCTTTTCAGTGTCTTGAGAAATTTTGGCCTGAAGATCTAGGCAGAACTGTGAACATTTACAATTCCCCCCCCCCCCCTACTCGAGTCCAAATCCTCCTCATTCACACTGCACAGGAAGCTCCCCACTGCTCAGATCTGGTCATATGACAAGACCAGAAGAATTCTGGGAGCGCATCAGTAGATGATGTAGACCACAGTTCCCACAGTGTGTCAGAATAGAGCCTCTGGAAATGAGACTCAGGATTAGTGAGACAATAAACCTTTTGTTTCAGTTTCATATTGGAAACAACAACACCCCCCCCCCCCCCGGGGCACACACGCGCACATACGCGCACATACACATGCAGCAGCGGAAACACTACAGGGCTGCTGCACCTAATACCTGCGCTGGGCTCCCCGGCCGGGGCGCGAACTCTAGGCCCGTGCATTGACCGCACTGAGCCTTACGCCCCTGCGCCACCAGGGAGGCCGCCAGCCTGGAGTGGTTCAGGCTGCCTATTAAGGAGCTTGCAGCTGACGCAAGAGGAGAAAGATGGGCAGGACCTGAAACAAGGTCTTCAAGCCCACCTGTACCGAATCAGCTAAATGGACCCATGAGCGCATTTCACTGACCCGCCACTCCCACTTTAGGCTACTTCGGGCCGTAGATCACAGCACTGGGCGCATAATGCTTTCCAAATACTTGCTGAGGCCTAGTTTGGGAAATACAGGCTCCACGTCCCGTGAAGTATTTTCCATGAATCCGAGACACCTCTATTAAATTGCCATAACTTGAAATTGGCAAACATGAACTTTCCTTGAATGTACACACAATGACGGGGGTGGGGTGGGGGTGTAGAGACCAAAGGGAGGGAGCCCCGTGACCTATACTGGACCTATAACCCTACAGAATACACAGGTGTAGTCCAAGGAGACCAATAAAAATTTAATATTAAAAAATGAAAATTGTGATTTCCTGATTAAAAATTCAAAAAAAACCCAATGTTCTTCCTGAATACAACTTTAAAGTTGTTCTTTCTTCCATGATTACAAGACTTACATGGGACCAAATTTAGCTAACACATTCAAAGCCCATCTAGGGCTTTTTATGATGGATAAAAGCATCTCTTCCACTTCGCTGCACCGACTCAGTGACTTCCCTGTGGCTAGCAGGGTGGGGGGAGAGGCGGGTCAGAAGGGGAGGGACGGCCCACGACATGATGTTGATGATCACAACGTGATGTCATGGTAGAATGAGTGTTAATACCAAGGTTTTTTACATTATATTTTATATACATTTTACTTCATTCTCGCCACCACCACGTCACCCGTGCACCAGCACCACAGCCCCTTGCGTGACAACGTATTCCCTGCCGCTCCCCGCACAATGTCGCTGATTCACACTTGCCTGTTAATTTTGATTACAATCACTTTTCCTTCCGGGTCCCTTCTATGGTTCCCTACATACCTCCCATAAATGAAACCACCGATATTTTTCATGAAACTACTAAAAATAGAGCTTCCACATGACCCGCCAATTCCACTACTACAGATCTACCCAAAGGACACAAAACCATTAATTCATAAAGGATACCTGAACCCCTATGTTTCCTGCAGCACTGTTTACACTAGGAAATGTGGGGAAATGACCCAAATGCCCAAAAACACATGACTGTGGTATCCACACACAATAGAATACTACTCAGCAATCAACACACAAACACATGCCACCTGCAGCAACATGGAAGGAGTTGAAACATTCTCAGAGAAGGTTTTATCTTAAGGGAAAAAATGGGACCCTTTTAGGTCATCCTAGGGTAGTATTTCTTGAGATACAAACATTTGACCCCCAACTCCCACCCATGGGGAGCTGGAGGAGGGTCAGCTTTTCATCCGGGGCTTCGGAAGCCTCTGTGGGAATGGATAGGTTGTGTTCTTCCTGGGACCTGGAATGAAAGGCTGGCAGGACGCTTCGGAAGCCCCGTGCTGGCTGGACTCCTCTGTGCATTCACAGTAGCGGAACCTCCTGGGTCCTGGTACTCTAAAAGTACTGCTCATGTTTTTTAAAACTTGCAATTCAAGAGACTGCATTGCATTTTTTATTGACTAGATGTAAAGATGTTCGTGAAAATCTATAGTGAAAGAAGTTTGGGAGACCTGTTCTCAACTCTGTTGTGCCCGTGTTAGATAGTTACTCAGGAATCAAGCAAGGCTGAGATAATGTAAACGGCCAGGATGACCTACCAGCGCATTCGTTGTCTTCTTACTGCAAAGAAAGAACTTTTGAGTCACTGGTTTGGGCAGTTGCTAAATCTTGCACTTTCAGGCTCACAGGGAAATGAAGCTTTATGTTTTGTTCCACTGTGTGGAGCCTTTTGATATTTTAACCTCTGTGATCCATTACAGTAACCTCCTTTTTGAAGTCCTCTCTCTTTGTGCTTTAATTTTGTCTTTGTGTTCTTCCAGTAATGGAAATACAACGTGACTATTATACATTATTACTGAGAATGTAAATGTCTTTAACTTAAAAAAAAAATATGAATAAAACGGAAATCCCAGTCAGGCCTCTGCATTCTCTGTGTTCTCTGCATAAGGCCAGGTGCTGTGCGGGCTCCTCAGGGGTCAGTCCAGCTGTCCCCTTGGTCCCCAAGGTCCAAGCCACTCTGCTGAATCCAGAGAAGCAGGCTTGGGGGTCTTGGGGCTACAGCACACAGCAGGAATAACGATAGTTAAATAAATGAAGACCAATTCATGGCTTTTACTATTCCAGACTCCTGGTCTCTCTGGTTCTCTGTTCTGCCTGCTTCTAGCTTACGGTGCTTGATTGCACTTTAGCAATGAAAGAATCCCTCCGTTCCTTCTCTCCTGTCAGGGCTTTTCTACTCATTTCATCATGAGCTAGGACCTTACATTTGCCCTAAATTGTAACATAAATTAGTACTTTTATCAGTTTCTGGACTGTGACGTGAACCTTCGAGCAATCTCATTAGCTCATTGTCTTCGGGCTTATGTCCTTTTGTTGCAAAAATCTTTTAATTCGATGTTTATCTCACTCCCCACCCCCACACACAGCAATTGCTATTTTATGTAGTCACTAGCCACTGAGACTTAACCCACATGAGCAGACATTTCTCGCCCTCAGGTTATTTTTAATGGGTAGTCCCAAGTAGGAAATGACTTTCTTTGAGCCCGTTTAAGATCCTTCACTATCTTTCAGTTGCTGTTATTTCTATGGAGAAGTCAGTTGTCAATCTTATTGATACTCATTTGGAGTATCCCTGATAAGTTATTATCAGTCATTCTATATTAAAAAAAAAAAAACATATAATTTGAAAGTTTGGACTTGTACCGCTATTCCACCAGAGAGGATTTACTAGGTTATCTTAATGCAGTTGGGAATTGAGATGATTCAAAGCTGGGTTTTGAGATTTGCTGCTATTTTGAGAGCATCGAGAGCCTCTTGGGTACCCTATCACACTCTCTACTGCAAGCTCCCCAACGTTCTGAGCCTCTCAAGCGCCACTTTTAAACCACAGAAGAAACACCATGAGGAAAGGAAATATGTGAGTTATAGGAATCCCAGAAGGTGAAGAGAGAGACAAGGGAACTGAGAAACTATTCAAGAAATTTCCAAATGTGAAGAAGGAAATGAAAATAGACATACAGGGAGCCGGAAGAACACCAAATTGCCATAACAAAAGGAAAACTACATGTAATAGTCAAGAGTCCAAGAGTCCAGGGTAAAGAAAAAATAATGAAGCTGACAGGGGGAGAATAACCTATAAAGGAAAAGCGATTAGGCCGACATCAGACATCTGAGGGAACACTAAGGGCAAGGAATGGAGTAACATATTCAAAAAACTGCCAAGACAAAAAATGCCAGCCAAGAATACTTTATCCTACAAAGCTCTCCTCCTCCTATGAGGGAAAAATAAGGACCTTCACAAACAAATGAAACCTTCAGAAATTCACTACTACTAAGCCCTCACTTTAAGAAACATTACAAGACTTAAAAACTAAACCAAACAGAGGAGTGAACAGGAAGAATTGAACAAGGTACTGAACAGAACCACAAAATGATGGGGGGTGGGGCGGAAATGGCCATTGCAGACTCCCATGTATCAGTAGTCACCCCAAATGTAAATTAACCAAACTTACCAATAAAAAGCCAGGTCACTATATAATGACCAGGGAACAACATAGCAGGAAGACAGAACAGTCATTAATATCTACTCACCAAATGAAGGAGCTAAATACATTAGACAATTACTATTGTCTCTAAAACAGACATGAGAGAAAATACTTACGTAGTAAGAAACTTCAACACCTCACTCTCACCCATGGACAGATCACCGAGACAAAAAATAAACAAGGACGCAATAACCCTAAATAAAGATCAAGACCACATGGGCCTAACAGGCATCTATAAGACACTACGCTCCCCCACCCCCCAAAAAATACGCATTTTTCTCAGGTGCACACAGATCATTCTCGAGGATAGACCATGTTCTGGGCCACAAGACAAACAACAAATATGTGAAAACCAGAATCATACCAGCTATCTTCTGACTGTGAAGACATCAAAGTAGAAATCAACTACGAAAAGGAAGCAAGGAACCCCTGTCCCATCATTACAAGGAGACTAAAGAACACACCACTGAAAGACCACTGGATTACTGAGGAGGCCAAGTAAGAAATTTTAAAATACCTTGAGACGAATGACAAGGAGGACTCAACTTTCCAGAATGTATGGGCACAGCAAAAGCAGAAATGAAAGTATATAGCAGGACAGGCCCACATCAAGAAACAAGAACCTCCCAAAACAACTTAATCTCCCATCTTGAAGAACCAAAACAACAACAACAAAAACCCCAAAGCCAGTAGCAGGAAATAAAAATTCAAGCAGAAATAAAACCAAAAGCTGGTTCTTTGAAAAAAAAAATAGACCTCTGGCCAGGCTCACAAAGAGAAAAAGGGAGGAAACTCAGACTCATAAGATCAAAAATGAATGAGGAGAATTTACGACAGCAGAAATTCAGAGGATAACCAGACTATTATGAACATTTAGATACAAACAAGTTCAACAATCTAGATGAGATGGACAAATACTTAGCCCTATACAATCATCCAAAGCTGAATAAAGAAGAAATAGAAAACCAAAACAATTACAAACAGCAAACTTGAAACAATCACCGAAACTCTTCCCCAAAACAAAAGCCCATGACCAGATGAATTACAAGTGGTTCTACCAAATGTTCAAAAGGGTGGGGAAAAAGTGTTCAAAGAGGAACTGGCACCTGGGCCTGCCTTGTGGTGCAAGGGGTTAAGTCTCAGCACTATGAAGCTGTAAGCAGTTGCTGCAGCATGAGTTCCATCCCCGGCCAGGGAGCTACCCACATGGTCCAGCAGACCTCGCCTGTCTCGCCCGCTGCTCCCCTCAGCAGTGTATTTCAGTCAATCTGCCTGTTCTGCTCCCCACTCTGTCTCTGCTCCCCACTCCTCTCACCAACTCCTCTCTCCCCATCTCCCGCACCTCTTGCCTACAACCCAGTTCTTGTATGCATAAACAAATCAATCCTAAAAATGAACTGGTGCTTATCCTACAAAAACACTGTCAAAAAATTAAGAAAGAAGGAATACTACCAAATACATTTCATACTAAGCCACCATTATTACACTTAATACCAAAACCAAACAAATACCACACACATACACACACACACACACACACTCTACAGGCTAATGAACACAGATGCAAAAATCCTTAATAAAATCTTAGAAACTGAATCCAACTATGCATCAAAGAATAATACGTCCTGACCAAGTGGAATTTATCCCAGGGACACAAGGATGGTTTAGCATCCAAAAGTCAATTGTTATCCAACACATCAGCACAAAAGAAAAATAAAAACCATATGATCATATCAGTAGATGCTAAGAAAGCATTTGATGAAGTTCAACATCCACTTATGATGAAGGCCTTCAGAATACTCTGGGAATAGAGGGACATATCTGAACATAATAAAAGCCATCTACAGAGGACAAACCCACAGCTGACATCATTCTTTATGGTGAAACCCTGAGCCGTCCCATTATGCTCTGGGACTAGACAAGAATGTCCACTCTCACCACTGCTTTTCAATATACTGCTGGAAGTCCTAGCTAGGGCAATTAGGCAAGACAAATAAGGA